TTTTTACTTCATCTAGTAAAATTAAAATATCTGGTAAAATTCAAACAGTCAAGTCAAAGCCAATTACAGGATACTCACAGGATATTTTAAGTGTCTACATGAAAAATGAGTTTAAATCCGAAACTTGGTTTCAACAATTAATACGTTTACAAATTTAAGTGTTTTGAATGGGTTTATTAGGTTTTATATCAAAAATTTTGGAAATAATTTGCAGTTATTTTGTTTATTCATTAGCTATTTCAGGAAGTATGCGTCGTAGAGCATAATGGGTTTTACCTGTAGATGCGGCTTAATGAGACGGGTCGATTGGTATTATAAAAATTCAGTAGCGGAAAAGTGCAGATAATCGGTTTTGGCACTAAGGGGACGATTTACTAATAATAAACTTCTCGCTTTCTAAACGCGCTTTGTTCGTTATTTTGAAAATGTACATATTAATAATTATAATTAGTAATAATATTTAATAGGAGTAACAATTAATTAATTCTTCATTAATAATTCTTATTAAAAAATAATGAACAAAAATATTTACAAAGAATAAAGACATTTATTTAAATTCAAAATAGGGAAACCTTCTACTACAAAGGCGATGTTCTTGGCTGTATCATTTCGGTGGTAATTTTTTACCATTTCGGTAGACAATTTTCATTTCAGTGGACTGCCGAAAACTCATCCTTAAATATTTCAGTAATTGGTGATTCTTGAATTTGCCCCGTAGGATCGTTTAAAAATGGAAAAAAAAACCATAAACAATATTTTTTATTTTTTTATTTTGCACCTTTAATTGCATTTTGTGTAAAAACTATGGGAGATACGCGAAAATAAGTTGATACCTTTTTTGTAGGAAATTAAATTTTCTACAACTTTGTGCTACAATTTTTTTCTATTTTTCCAGCCAGTCGCGAGATATTGACGAAAAACTCGTTTTTGCACCATTTCGCATTTTTTTTTCACCCTTTGCCGTCAATGCAGCACCCTGCAATTTTAGTATATTAATCTACGAACCCTTGCGGAAATTTTCGCGTTGGTTGCAGGTGATCAACTCAAAATGGCAAAGTTAAGCCTTCATTGACTGGACTATAGTGTAACTGCTTATTATTCTATAGTTGAAATTTCTTTGACATATGTTTAATTTTCGAGGAGGAAATCGTCGAGAGCCAAACCTCGAATTCTGCAATTTTTACACGCAATTTTCAGCGATAACTACTGTTGTCCCTATCGCACGGTATTTGCCAATGCGGATATGCGGGACAGCAACAGTTTTTTCAGATATTTATTCTCAAATGTCTCTCAGCTCGCGCCCGCTCATAAAACACGAGAGTCTCTTTATCACTCACTAGTGGTCCGCCCTCGCTTCGCTTCGGTGTAGAGCAGTAGTGTAGACTATAGTTATTGTTCTCAGACTTGTATTAATGACTTTCTTCATGTAAGTGTCATTTTTTTTGCCTAGTTTACGACCCCTTATAAAGAATGCACCATTGCTCTGTTGTTAAAAAAATGTAAATCCTTACCGTTGGTCCGTGCCCTTATTATTAAATGTATCTAGAGTCAAAGTGGTTTGTACACACCCATCACTTTAATAACTCATAATTATTGCACAAATCACCGCGTCAGGTGTTTCTAATCTGATTCTGATCATAGAAATTAGAACATTTTGATTTGACTCAACACGGCGTCGGGTCGCATGGCGTCGCGTTTCATAAGTTGATTCAACCAAAAAAAAGAAACAATGTTTATTTTTTTGTTGAACGCGCGTTAAGAAAATACTTTCCCGATTCGAAAAAATATTTTTGTGTTGGATAGTGCATTTATCAAGGAAGGCTATAAGGCTATATAACATTACGCTAGGACCAGGAAGAGTGGAGTATCATTGAAAAATGTTACAAAAACGGGTAAAAATATTCCATTTGTGAGCTTTCGTTGCGAGCGCTGTGTAAACGGTTCAAGTTACACAAAAGTCATGTATGACGGAATTGTTCCCCTTTAAAAGTTCTATAAAAAGTCCGAGACAGCATATATCCATTTTTAAGTTTGACTCACTACAACCTTTTACCTTAAAATAACACGGGTGAAACCGCAGGGGATCTCTAGTTGTGAAATAACTGGTATTGAGAACTTTTTTTGTAGATATTGATGTCCTTATCTACATATAACATACAAACAAACAATCAAATCTTTCATCTTTATAATATTAGTTAAGATAGGAACAATTAAAATTAAACAAAGATACAAGGAAATAATGTTTAGGGCTTAAAAAAATAAGTGACGGGTGACAGACCTTTAACAAAAAATATCATTAATGAAAACTAGGGGTTTTTCTCCTGTAACTGGGCTTGAGACCAATGAATTTATTTTTTAAAGATTATGGATTTTATTGTGTTTCTGTTATTTTTAGTTATAATTGACGGAGTTATGATAAATTGAATTAAAACACAGCATTTAGGTCAAAAATTTTATTAAAATGCCACTGAAAAGGTGAGAGTTTAGACATCTACAGAGAGTTTTTGGAGAATCAGCTCCCAGTTTTGCTGGAAGATGTAAACATATTGCTGCTAAAAAATAAGGAATTTATAACAACATCCGCCAAACAAACATATAAAATAGGACGTACTTAGGTGCAAATAGGTGTTCAGAAATAACCTGACTTCTGTAACTTTTTCTATCCGTTATTGTAAATAAAAAAAATGTCTAATGTTTTGAGTAATGCGAAGCTATAGTCAATAACGATCTGATAATAATAAATATAATTATCGAAATGTTATTGTTATCTAAATTCAACCATCAACGACCTTTGTCGACGAGATTAAAATCAATAACATAGAAAACAAACGTGAATGTCATATCATTTCGTTATTCAAGGGCGTTGCGAGGGGGTTTAATGATATCATAGTACGAGTTGATGGTATTTATCTAATCAGCACTGACTAGTGTAATAGGTAGTACCCTGGTATACTACTTGTATTATTATAGTACTTCTCATTATCCTCAAACAGTATTCACATTTCTGTTATAGCAATAGAATTAGTATCAATTCCAAACATTTACAGTAATTTAGTACCAACGGAATACGGATTTTGTATTTAAAAAAAATGTTATCCATTTCACAAACGAATGCCCCTGTAGTATTCAAGAAGTTACCATTGAAGAAGCAAAACTTGCAAAAGCAAAGACTGGGTCGCGGCCACATTGTGTGTGCACCATTATTTTCAACAGGCAAAAAATATTGCTATTAATTCCATACACATATATCGAGATTCTGAGGAGCGCAAGTGGTTAGCGCCTTCGGCTGCAATCGTTGAAGCTAAGCAACTTTCGTAGAGGTCGGTCATATTCCATCCATAGGGAAGGCCTGTGCCCCAGCAGTGGGGACATTAATAGGCTGATGATGATAGCGAGATTCTTCGTCCAAGATTTCACTATACATTAGTACAAATAAGGGATATATATACTGCTCCAATTTATCGGTTAAATACAAATATCAGTGTGAAGTGCTAGCTAGCATAATGAAAACATATAAATTGCGGTCGATTCATTCGTATTACCATGCTGTTCTGTTGAACCCACACTAATTGTGTACCAATTAAAATGAGGTACATACACTGAATACATTCATTATCAGATAAAAATAATGATTGTGAAATGTGTCCCGAATAAATAATATTTACCCACACGACCGAGATGTTATGTGTATCATCCAACTTGATACTTGATTAAATATCTTAATACCGGCATCTCGTATTTGTAGTTTTATCTTATGATAAGCAAGATTAATTATAAAGAAATAAAATTTAAATACATGTATTACGCTATTGTTGATAATGTGATAGATACTGCAGCACTGCTCGTTCGTTTAGTATGCCGATTCACATTTACGGGCACAATGAGAGTTCTTTTCTATATTAGCTACGACCCACTGGTCATAACTAATATAGAAAAGAATGATACTTGTTACTTAGTAAACACCGAAATACATTAATCTCTTTGCAAACACACTTGTTACCAGGTAAACGCCAAAATACATTAATCTCTTTGCAAACACCTATTCACCTTTATGTGAAAAATTATATCTTTCCTATCTGTTATCTTACAACTATTTTACTAATACATTTAGGACAAGGTATTAATTATATTAACAATGTTAATATAGTAAAGTTAAAGTAGTAATAAAAAAATTTCTTTGGTTCGGGATAAGGATAAAAAATATTTATCATCTCGTCATCATCATCATCATATCAGCAATAAAACAATCCTTAATGGCAGGTACTACTTAACTAAGTACAGTTTAAGCAGGCAGACTGATAGTACTTCAGCTGCATTCCGACCACCAAATAATGGCACTAATGCGATTTTATTACAGTTGCCATGAACGCAACGAAACAGTACCCCAAGCTCGAACTTTGACAGATCCGTAATCCGTATCACCATCGTCATAGTTGTTATGGAAGTAGCCAGTTTGTTCTTCCGGTAGAAGCGCTGCTGCTAGTTTCCATAAAAGCTTTGACGATAGCGATACGAATAAGGATCTGATAAACTTCGTGATTGGGTAGTGTGTACATCGCCGCTTGAACTGCGCGTTAAATGTTTGCAATTTGCCCCTCGAATGCGGCTGAATGAGGATCATAAGTTACTAGGTCAGCAAATTAACTCTAAATCAACAGTATAATGATCTAATAATATACTTTTTAAATCATCGATATCGATTCATTCGTGCTTCATTCCGGTCGAACTTTAGTAGCGCCACTATGCACGCTCGCACCTGAGCGCTAGAGCTTTGTTATTTCACAGTCACCACGCGGCCAGCCGAAAATCAGTTTGGTACTTTGGTCATGACTTCGTAAAAATATTTGTCGTAGAACAAAAATTTAACCACTGTATTTTATGGAATCCTTAGCTCTATAAATCTGCATTCTCAACTAAAATCGTTACGGATCCTTATTGTAGACCGCCTGCTTCGGTAGGATAAGAGACTTGGATATTCATTATATTACCATTTGTTCCAGGCATTCCAGCATACGGTCTCGACGGCGACAACATTCGCACCGGACTCAACAAGAACCTCGGCTTCACTAAGGAAGACCGCGAGGAGAACATCCGCAGGGTGGCCGAAGTGGCGAAACTCTTCGCAGACAGTGGTGTCGTGTGCCTGTGCAGCTTTGTGTCACCTTTTGCTGAGGTTATAATTAATGTTTTTGAACACATATTTGTTAGGCCAAGTATTCAAATGGCCGTTTAATGTTAAGACACTATTATGCAGGCACTTACATTAGTTTAGGAATATTTTTATCAGTCTCACCTTTCCTTTCGTTTTTCAGTTTCAGTTTGTGTTCGGTGATATTAGACTATTAGATAGGTTTTATTGGAATACGGATGTACTGCAATTCTACTTAAATACTTTACTCTGGGAGGATTTATTCACACAATAATATAACGTGTCAACCAACTCCACACACTCAACTAAGGTCACAAGAAAGTATCAATACAACGAATGAATTAGTTCGGTTAATACAAAACGAACGGGTTATGAGGTTGATTTTACAAATTCATATTTTCACCTTTGTCGTTTTTTTCCAAGTAGCAGATATAATCTATATATATATATATATATATATATATATATATATATATATATATATATATATATATATATAAAACTCAAAGGTGACTGACTGACATAGTGATTTATCAACACAGAGCCCAAACCACTGGACGGATCGGGCTGAAATTTGGCATGCAGGTAGATGTTATAACGTAGGCATCCGCTAAGAAAGGATTTTGATCAATTCTACCCCCAAGGGGATAGAATAGGGAATGAAAGTTTGTATGAAACTTTGTCAATTTTAAACCGATCGGGCTGAGACTTTGCATGCAGGTATAAGAAGAATCATAGATGAATGTCATTGTGTATAATACAAGCCTGAGAACAAAAACTGTAGTCTGCACTTCAGCTCTACACCGAAGCGAAGCGAGGGCGGGGAGCTAGTTAGATCAATAGTTCGTTTTATAAGACAAAAGATCGTATATGCGAAATAACATTTTGATATTTATAACCTTATTCCTTCGTGGGGTAGTTGTTATTAGTATTATATTATTAAACTGTTTTATAACATTTATTATGTTGAAAAACGGGTACTTAAACTGCTTAAGTTTAAACATACGCGGACAGTTTTTAGCTTTGATTTTGTATGCAACCCGTTATCTATAGAAGTCTTGATCGAAGAATAAGGATGACTTAGTCATTTGTGTTGCAATAAAAATAGTTTACAATCGATTTCAGAATTTTGACAATACAATGTGCTTATTTAAAATTTTCAAATAGAACTGAAATTTCAAAAAGACCTGAAGAAAAGTGAACGATTAAGTTGAGCTGGTTTGACTCATAGCTGCAATGTTTTATTGTTTATTTAATTTATTGTACGCACCTAAGTAAAAACTAAGTTTGTGTCAAATAATTTTACAGTACTTTGAATATATCGCTATAAGATGATGCATTTCATTTTTTTATGTAGGTACCTATTGATTTTATGTCTTCAACTACATATTTTGTAGACAACAATTTAAAGCACCGATAGCCAGCTATTCTTTAATTTACTTTCCTCCTGAGTTCTCGCTCTTATATTGAAATAGTGGCCAGCCCTAGCTTCGGTTCGGTGTAGAGCTGTAGTGTAGACTTAAAGATTTTGTTTTCAGGCTTGTATTATATATATAATTATAAACCTTCGAAGGTAGGTAGGACGATGCAGACCTGAAAAGGCTGCGAAACGTCAATAAATAAATAAAGTTTCGTGCGTTAACCCGTTAAAACTAGTTTTATCTACTCATTCTACATCAAAAGGGAGTGAAAAGAGAGACTTTTGTCAGGATTACAAATAGCAAACGCGAATAGCTATATTCAGGTTTTCTAATTTGGTTCCGCAATGTTTAGTGTTATCTTAGGTTAAAATAACACGTAATATAATACTTTGATGTAATTTATTAACTTTGTCGGCGTCACTTCAATTCCAGAGATAAATAATGCATTCAACGGAAAGTTATCTTACTTAAAATGTTTGTCATGACACGAGATCTTAAGTGACAAGTGTGTCAGATGTCGTTATTAGACCGACACGCTGATAACAATAGTTGAAAGATCATTAGCTCTCCCGGATTTTATTCTAATAATAATTTAATTAACATTAAAATAATTAATAGGACGCCCAAGCGGGGATTTCTGGATTTACTAGAGCGCGGCAGAATAACATAATCAAAAATTCCCGCTTGGGCTTCTCTACTATAATGAACACGGGTTTTAAAACTTACCTCTACGTAGAAAATTTTTACTTTTACTTATTTTCGCAGATATTTTTTTAACTTCAACAAATGCATAGCTCTACAAAAAATCTTGTAGTGTTTAATAATTTTACGCCCAGTGTAGTAGTCATGCCTAAAGTCATTAAGTCACACAAATAATTTATGCATATTTTTAAAGTAATGAATAGGTTAACGTTTTTGTTAATGAACCATTAGCGCGTAATTAGGGCGGACAACGTAATGCAAACACGGCGTTTCCTTTTGTCGACATGGGTATTGTACAAACTAGGCTATTCATGTTGAACACAATTTATTTTTAGCTTATTCTGGCAACAGTTTTTTTTAACAAAGGTAATTTTAATAACTAATAGTATTTGTAATTTAACAGCAGATAAGTTATATATTATGTTCTCTGGTAATGAAAATATCTAGCAATACCACAGAACACAGCAAGTTGTAAGAAGGGTTATCATAGACCGTTTTTACGGGAACCGATGTCGCCGGCTCGACCCCCGCTACACCTAATTGATAATAGCGAATCAAACGAAACGACATTAAGCAATGGAACCAATCAGCGCTCTCACCCGAGAGCAACGATGCATTCAGAATCATGATTTGGTCAAGTTATGATCGTTTGCTCACACATAACTGTTCTGTAGCGCGCCTGCCCCGCCCACAAGGCCCTTCTAACCTTATTCTGTGTTTTGTGAGCATTACTTATAAACCGGTTAAGGCCGTATCAGCACAAAATAGATAGTACAGAAGGTACATACTGTGATTATATGGAGTGATAAAATATAGTTATTACTGGCGGCCACCTGCGACTTCGTCCGCATTAATTATGTTTTTTGTGAATACAAAAGTATCTTAATAGGTCATACACTATATGCGTAAAAAAAATAACCGAAATTCGGTACATACATGAGATTACTTCATGTTCTGTTCCTTCTAAACTAAGCTATAATAAATAAAATAAATATTTCCAACACACCCCAATTAGCCTAGCCCCAAAGTGCGCACTGTAATGCTTATGATATGGGATAGGTAATAGGGTAACGGATAAAATACATATATTGTATGTATATAAGTATATTTATATTGAAGTACATATTAAATCCATGACTGGAGTAAAAACTACATACTACGCAGCATACTACGCATATGCATACTCCTGGCTTAAATATGGAGTCATGCTTTGGGGCAACAGCGTTAATGCAGGGCAGGTATTTATACTCCAAAAGAAATGTGTGCGAATCCTTGCTCAAATTAACAATATGCAGAGTTGCAGACCTTACTTTTTAAAATACCAACTACTAACTTTACCATCGATTTACATACTGGATAATTGCTTGTTTATTTTTAAACATCGCAATAAGTTTATCCGCGTTCAAGACACACATAATATTAGCACTCGCAACAAAAACAGGCTGTATATACCTCCTTCACGCATAAAGATGCTAAACACCAGCCCCTATCATATGGCTATAAAAATATTTAATAAATTACCATCACAAATACGGGATGAACAGGAACTCCCTATATTTCACAAAAAATTAAAAAAATATTTAACCGATGAATGCTTCTATTCTATCGAAGAATACTTTAATAAATTTAATTAATTTGTATTTTTTTTTTCAATTGTTTTTGTTTTGTTAAATTATGTTATAATGATGGTATCACCCAAACCAAATTAAATATGTTACAATTTTATAATATCATAATAATAATATATGTTTAATTATATATTATTTGTTATACCTGTACAAGGTGACTAAGTCATAAGATGCTATGTATTATGTTTAAGAACTTATGTAACACTTAGTTTGCAAATAAAGAGTTTGAGTTAAAATGCTCATATACATTACACAAACATCTGCCCCAACCGGTATTCGAACCCGGGACCTATCGAGTCGGCAACACCATGAAACCCGGCGCATAAACCACTCAAGCTAGTCGTCAAGCTATGACTGTTTTGTAGTATCAGGCCATGCGCACCGCAATGTAGAATTCCGTAAGTTATTTATCTGTCATCAACTCATCACATACTTATAGGTAGCACTTCTGGACAGCATCTGTATCTTGAAGCCCTCGCGCTTATGAGCTCAGGCCCAGTATGTCCCGGTATTGATATGAGCCGACCCATTCCAATCCAATATATATGATATAGATATTGGATTGGAATGGGTCGGCTGGAATGGTTCGGTCGACAATATAATAATTTCTTTAGTAATTATTATTGAAGATGTTATGATTTTTATTAATTATTTACATTTAGGGTTCCGAAGTAAACAAAGAAACAAAGGAGTATTTACTCTACCGGGATTCGAATCGAAGACAGGACCTCTGAGTAGGCGGCACCCTGAAACCCGGTTTACGTAACACTCCTCCACGGTCCCCAGTATAAGGGCGAAGCCGCAACGCTGCGTTACCGCGTCGCACCATAGAAATCTACGACGTGTACAACGCACCGCAACGCCAAATTATCCGATGCGCTGCCAGCCGTTGCGATGTATTCTTAATATGCGTTGCCTCATCGTATATCGCATGATATAGCGATGCGACGTCGCAACTAAGTTTTGTGGACTCGCTCTAAATAGCGGCAAACTTCTTAAGCAAAACTACAGACAAATAAACTTGCGCAGTAGACGTTTTGTATGTAAAATTGCTACTCCGCAGGCTTCCTTGTCTATGGTCGATGATCAAGAAGAAAAATGATTGTCGGGGTGTATATCATTGTGAACAATTGAATTTTATTTGTTTCAGGACCGAGAAGTGGCTCGTCGCATCCACACAGATTCGGACCTGCCTTTCTTCGAAGTTTTCATTGACACTCCGCTAGAAGTGTGCGAACAGAGGGATACCAAGGGTCTCTACAAGAAAGCGAGAGAAGGACAAATAAAGGTGAGCAGATATTGATTGATGTAAAGTTTTTTTTACAAATACCTATTGACTTTATGCTTATCTGCAAACAAAGACCCAAGCACGAACTTCGACAGCTCCGTAATCGAATGGCATCGTCAAAGTTTTTATGAAAACTATGCAGCGCCCCTACCGGACGTAAGAACGAACTGGTCCTTCCATTTAAAATTTGATGACGATACTGTCTGTCTGTCGAAGTTCGGACTTGGGTCGTATGACCACAGGTACTTGTGCCTTTGTAGTTTCGAGGCACACACCCCATCTATAACTTTAGCGTAAGGTGCTGAGCCTTGTATGAAATAACTGACTGGCAAAGGTAGTATTTAATAATAGTATAAATATAACTACCTGATTCGTAAAAGTTTTAGCTTGTAAGCTGTTACTGTTGTATTCTTAAGCCATACTCATTAGCGAGCTGTAACCGTAACATGTGTGAAACAGTACGAGGTTCTAGTGTGTACGCTTGTTACAGTTTAGGCTTACGACGTCACCGGAACGCATTCGGCGAGCGTACTCATTTTTAAAACTGTAACTGTAACCAAACAGATACATTAACGAAGTTCTAGTGTGTACGAGAAGGCCACTGACAAACCGGATCTGCGCAGTGTTTGTTTGTAAGTCCACGATGTCGGACGAAGTATCTCTTGCTTGTGCAGCAGACATACTTATAGATCATCCTCTCACCTCTTCTCTTGACGTCCACGTGCGCACCTCGATCGCCCTTTGATTCGCGGCAAAAACCGACAATCGTCGGCTCGCTCTGAGGCGCTCGTATAGCGTTCGCCTTTTGCAGGGTCACGAACCACGTACACAATATCTGTTTGATAACAGTAACAGTTACGTGCAACGTTACGGGTTCAGAAATAAGTACGTTGTAAACGTCGGCTCGCTGCAAACCGCACGCGTACCGATCGCAGTAGGTTAGCGAACCACGTACACACTATGTTTTTTGGTTACAGTGCATGCAACGTTTACGGTTATAGCTCGCTAGTGAATACTCGGCTTTATTAAAACTTACCAGGTCACTGGTCTACTTAAGGGAGAAGAAGCCTTTTTTATGTTAAAGCATGAATACGTGCAGACGGCTCACCTGATGGTAAGCGATCATCGTTCCCCATAAACATCTGCAACACTAGGAATACCACAACTGTGATGCCGCCCTTTAAGGGAGGAGTAAGGTTGTGGCACCAATGACCGAGGAGCCAGTGATCATACTTTTTTTCTGTGATCAATGAAAATAACAGTGATTGGGCGGTCGCTGAGTGTGATACCAGGAGGCCTACTCTAATACAACGAAAAACTAAATTTCGATCGAAACTTCGCACGTTTCTTACTATTTTTCTTATTCGTTTCTAATTATAATAATATTCGTTCGCCCGAAAATAGATTGAGGTTTATATTCTCTTAGCCTACTCAATGAAAAATTGAATTTGACAGTTTATCGTTCAAATTAAGTATAACCTGAACCTTAAGTTTACGAAATTAATTTTCGTTTGAACTTCGTTACCGAAAGTTCGTATCGGAGAAAGAGAGGAGACTCCCAGGTTTACTGATCGGTTGCCTACTCTTATTTTCATTGATCACGAAAGTTAATGTCGATCATTGGTGCAACTATCTTATAGATATATAGATTCGCCCGGATTGCGAAGGGTGCGGGTTCGAGTCCCGTCTATCTAGTCTAGTCTATATTTTCTTTAGATTTAAACATCAAGCAGTTACATGCTTAAAAAATAAAAATTATAACTATAATTGCTATTTCTTCTTTCAAATGTTTAAGACTTTTAAAAGTATTCATTTGACATTGTGGGTTACCTACAATGCGAAGAAATGGCGCTGCCTTGCAGCTTAAGAATGGCTAGAAGAATTTCGACGCGGCCGTCAGGGCCGCGGTAGCATAATTGGTCAGTGCATTCGCCCGGATTGCAAAGGGTGCTGGTTCGAGTCCCGTCTGCTGCCTGGTCCGCGTGGATAATTTTCTAGTTTCTTTAGATTTAAACATCAAGCAGTTACATACTTAAAAAATAAAAATTATCTTAAAGATAGTTTTTTTTATATGTTTACTTCTGTTATTTTAGGGTTTCACAGGCATCACACAGGAGTATGAGCGGCCTGAAGAACCGGAGCTCATCGTGCAAACAGTTGGCCCGTCTATAGAGGAATCCACAATGGAGGTTATCAAGCTGCTAGAATCAGAGGTACAATGACACTATTTCTTTAATTGATAAAATATTTGTGAACGTTTTTAGAGTCATCATCATCATCAACCTATTAATGTCCCCATTGCTGGGGTACAGGCCTTCCCTATGGATGGAATAGGGAGAAAGGGCCAAATCCCACCCCGCTAACAAAGTACGGTTTGGTGGGTGCTAACGACTGCAGATGCAGCCGGGATCAACGTCTTAAAGTGCCTTCCGAAGCACGGAGGAGCTCGAGATAATAAGTTTTTGGTCACCCATCTTCAGGGCTTGAAACCGGTTTCAAAAATACCGGTAAATAAAGATTAATACCGGTTTTTAGTAAAGGTTTTATTCGGAGTGCGTCCAAAATGAAAGCGGTACCTAAATCCTTAATAAACCGGTTTAAGCCAGAGCGACACGTGCACGTGCCGGCATCGCTTGAAATTTGTTTTGTTTGAACTAATTAAGTCACAACTTGATAATGCTCAGAGATTGATGCATTTATTGACACGTTTGCTAATGTCTAGTGAATCAAGTTATTCATTTTGTAGTTGTGTATTTATTTCAGCCGTCAGTAAGAGCGAAATGAAACCCTTTAAAAACCGCTAAATTGATTCAAAACCGATTTTATTTCGCTTTTTAGGAAAACCTTTTTTTAAGGTTAAGGTAGAGCCAAACGTAAATAAAACGCTCCTAATGTACTTGACACTGATTTAGGTTTTAAAATTAACCGGTAAACAAGCCCTGCCCATCTTCCATGAAAGATGCTTAGTTTTCACGATCGCAGGCCGAATGCGTTAACCACCTGCGCCATTGAGCTCCTCTCTGTCTAGGGTCGTATGCAAATAGGATTTTGTTTATGATATTTTTATTTTCGAGAACTAAATTAAATCAAATTTAAAATAAAGTTCTGAGTGCGGCTGATAGCACCCTTTAATTCATATGATCACTGTACCTACACTCAATATATCAATTTCTGCTAGAGATCTACAGGACAAATGTTTTAACAATGCTCTCGACTTGTAATTTCGACTCGTAAAGTCAACTCGTAAAACATACAAGCTTGAAAATCGAATGATAAAAAACCCGCTTATTAAATCTCCCGCTTAATAAATTAAGATGTCCATTCCAAGCAATAAAAATAACGCTAGGACCTAAACTCTTAATATTCATACTGATCACACTGCAAAATCTAGATCCTTTCGAGCTACATTATTACAATAATCATGCCAAACGATAATAAGCTCTATAACTATTTAAATAGGGTATGCATGCGGCGTGCCCGAGGAGCTGTACTCTTCTTCACACTTTAAATTCAAGTTCCTCGCATGCAATATTATTGCAGTCGTTACGCTTAACGAAATAGTTCTTTATGCAACTGTTGTATAATGAGGGGAATTAAAACACGAACGTGGAATAATAGTATCACACAAGTTTGTCCTAATATTAGGTAGCGGGAAACTTCTTGGGTCACCAAACCACAGACAAATAAACTTGCGCAGTAGACTGTTTTGCATGTAAAATTGCTACTGCGCAGGTTTCATTGTCTATGGTTGTTGGTCAAGTCGTTTTCCGAGGTGTATGTATTCCTAACAATCGTTGTGCCATACGAAAAAGACTTTTATAACTGTTGTCGTAGGGCATGAAGATCTATGTGTGCGCGACGCGTCGGATATTCCTAATATGATTCCGAGTATAGAAAATAGTACATTTGATTTGACCCAACACGCGTTCCGTGGCTTTGGGTGGCGTCGCGTTTCTTTAGTCTGTTTCTGCTTAAATTCTTCGCTCCAGTTATGGCTGCGTGCCCGAGCAGATGTTTCTCTTAATTCAAAATTCAAAGTCCTTTTGTGCAACATTAAAGCAATCATCATGCCAAACTAAAATTGTCTCCTTACTGAAAGGGCATTTCAGGCACCATTAATGTTTGACAACATTATTGTAATCATCATAAGAAACAAAAATGAACTTTTAATCTATTGTGTTAGGGCATAGTTCTCGCTCCAGCAATGGCAGCGTGCCCGAGCAGCTATTTCTCTACACTCCAAATTCAAATTCCTTTCGAGCAAGATTAAAGCCTTCCTTCTTAGTCGGGCACTCTTGGCAGCGTGGTCGCGGTTGCACTGACGAGGTACAGGGTGCGGTGTTCTTTTGGTCGCTATCAATTCCGAGGGTAGCTCTCCTGGCGATGTACTTCCATTTATGACGGTTCGAGGCGTCCGAGTACACTGGACCATGGTGGACTCAATAGCCTTTGTGATGGCGTCTATCCAGCGGGTTGGCGATCGACCGGCGTACTCTCTTGCCTTCCACCTGGCCTTATTTATTAAAGCAATCATTACTAGAGTGATCTTTATATCCGTTCTCGAAGGGCATTTCGTGCAACATCAATGTTTGACAGCATGTATTTTTTTGTGTTGACAACATTATCGTAATCATCATGCCAAACGAAAATGACCTATAAATATATTTTGTTAGGGCATAATTCCTCGGTCCAGCAGTGGCAGCGTGCCCGAGGAGCTGTTTCTCCACGGCAACCGCCTCACCAGCGCCATCGAAGAAGCCACGCAGTTGCCACATCTCGATATCACAGAACTCGACTTACAGTGGGTCCAGGTATAGCCTTTTTTAATTCAATTCTTTATTTTTCACACAATCAGACACTATTAACAATGTATAATGAAAGACATGATAAAGGAACAGTAAAGAAAGATACACATACACTAATTCTTTGATGTTTCTGAAAGTATAATAATGCATCAGATAATTCTATTTTTTTAATAAATTATTCAGCATCACCAGCCTATTAATGTCCCCACTGCTGGGGCACAGGCGCACAGGCCTTCCATATCAATGGGATAGGGAGATTGGGCCCTGACCCACCACGCGGGCCCAGTGCTGATTGGTGGGTGCTAACGACTGCAAATGCTTAACGTGCCTGCCGAAGCATAGAAGATCTCGAGTAAATTTTTAGTCACCCACCCAATGACCGGACTCTGCGAAAGATGCTTATCTTCAACGATCGTATCCGAACGCGTTAACCATTTGCGCCATCGTGCTCCTATTTAAACTCTAATTTGGGCATATTAAATGATACTTGAAAAATTCGCGCCCAATCCGGACTCGATGAAATACTCTTTTTTTTGAACTAACTACTGCCAAAAATAATAGATTGAAATGTTTTTAGGTCTTATGAACATTGTTGCATTTTCATTATCGGTATCGTTCCTATAATAATTAGACCTATAATTTATAACAGGTCACGATATCATTATGATAACAGTCACGAAGCTTATATTTAACATTGTGCATACAAATAAGCTAACTGTAATTGTGAAGGATAACGGACCATGGAGTATTTAGTATTTATTTTTTTCCAAAAATGCTAATGATTGATAAATATTGTTGCAGATTTTATCCGAAGGTTGGGCTTATCCACTCAAAGGATTTATGCGTGAAAAAGAATATTTACAAGTAAGTACGAAAACTTTGAACAGTACAAACTTTTGTTGGTTCTGCATAAAGTTTGTGGTTATGCTTGTATTTATGTTTGTACTAGCGGTAGTCCGCGACTTCGTCCACGTTGACTTTAGTTTTTTGAGAATCCATCAGAATCCTAGCATTTTTCCGTGATAAAAAGTATCCTTTGTCTTAATCCAGGTCATAAAGTATATGCGGTCGAAATTTCATCGCAATCCTTTCAGTACCTATACCTCTATGACAGAAACACAGAGATACGTGCAGACGGGTCAATAGCGGTTTTTCAATCATTTCAGTACGTCGTGACTTCGATTCATGCTAGGTGCTGAGAGCAGCCTTGCAAGCATACCCTCGTTTTTTTTTAATATACGGCGCACATAGCAGTCTTGTATGAACTGCTCTGTGTTACAATAGCAAGCAACGAACCTAACATTAAAAATATTAATAAATTAATAATAAACTTTACGATGACGGAACAATAATATAAGTACTAGGATATCCGGCCTAAGGTCGTGGACAGTTGTAAACTTAATTAAATTCGTCTTATTGTTTAAAACAAAATAACTTAATTTATATAATTTTCAACAATAAAATATTTTATTACTGTTTTTAAAAAATTGTTTGATCAGTTTGTTAATTTTTAATTATTTTTACTTTTTGAGATTTTTTATTAAACTGCCTTTACACAAATAGTCCAAATTACTCCCCCTACTTGGTGTTAAGTTAATTGTGTGAGTGGAATACTGGAGTGACAATAAAATTCTCTACTATACAAACATACTCGGTATAAATAAAAATTCAAGACCTTCAGAGTAGAAACGGTGCCATTGCACCATTTACTAGCATTTAAACTATCAAATATATTTGATGCAACACAGATAAACGTCATAATACCAGCTACTTTGCCAGCTTGAGGCTGTATACTTAACTCTATTAATGCCAGGCAAGTTTTGTTGATAGAAAGAGACACACATAGTTGTATAAAAAAAAAACTCGAAAAATTTCACTAAATAAAGTATTTTCCAATTTTTTTAAAAGTGCTTATATTTAAAGATTGGGACAAACGATTTAACAGAAAAAAAACTGGAAAATACCCTGTTATATAAAGAAAATTTTACTAGAAAAAATTCCACGCGGTACAGGCAGCAGACGGATAACGAAACCTGCACACTCCGCTATCCGGGCGGATGCACTGACCAATTTTGCTATCACGACCATTAAATTAAATATAATAATTATATTTAAAATATAATATCAAATTTCTAACCATAATTTTTCGAGTAAAATTTTCTTTAGATATTATAACATCTAGCAATTAAATGCTTAAGAAAATATAATATATTCACAAAACTAATAAATTTACATGTTCTTGTGTCGTCACAGGCCCTGCATTCCAACTGCTTAGTGTTGCCGGACGGGTCGCTCATCAACCAATCCGTGCCCGTAGTGTTGCCAGTCCACACCGAGGTCAAGGACCGTTTGACAGGCGCGGCAGCCATCGCTCTGTCGTATGGCGGGAAAGTTGTCGCCGTTTTAAGAGCGCCGGAGTTTTATCCACACAGAAAAGTCGAGAGGTGTTCGAGACAATTCGGGATCTATCACACTGGACACCCTTATATCAAGGTTAGTGGTGTAATTGTTTAGGGTCCGCGAATCGTCCACCGGCAAATTCCGCGGTGAAAAGGGAGTTTTTTCTAACAGAATAGCACTGTAGCGGCGGACATCGCCTTGTCGTATAGCGGAAAAGTTGTCGCCGTTCTGAGGGCTCCGGAGTTTTAACCGCACAAGAAAGTTGAGAGGTGTTCGAGACAATTCGGGATCTATCACACTAGACACCTTTATATATCTAGGTTTGTTGCGGTTTTTCTATTTTATGGGCTAATTTTCAATTCCTTGGGTGAAACAGAACCCAGGCTAATTTTCAATTCCTTGGGTGTCAGGAAGTGTATATTCTCAAATTGTCGTTTTTGGTATTGGGGATGTCACTTTCGTTTAAGTTTAGTAATGATTTTCCTATATTTCAGTTTTATACATAATTTCAAAGCTATCTCTCTTAGTTCGTAGAAAAAAATAACTTGGTATTCAGGCTATTCCATTCGAGCTCAGAGATATTTTCTTTCATTACGTTTATTGCTATGTAAATACATAAGACACAACCAAAACCAAAACGTCATATCGCCTTCAGACGACAACTCGAAGAAAAATTAACTCAACGGGCATTTACTTAGCGGCGACAATTATATAAAAATATCTTTTATCTCATACTGTTGCACGTTTGATACTCTGTCAATGCTCCAAAAGGCACATAATGACGTAAACCACTAATTATATTGACTTCAAAACATATTGTATTTGTAAAAGATTTAAATCAATTAAAATAATGTATCATTGCCTTTATTGTAGTTATATTAGACGACCTCCGTGATTGAATGACACTGAAACCCAGTGTCATTCAAGGTATCGTCTATTCAGAGGTTTTGGGTTCGAATCCAGGACAAGCAAATGTTTTTATTATGAATACGAGCATTTGACGTAAGTCATGGCTGTTTATCTATATTAACAAATATCATAATGCGTTACGCTTTCACACCTAAACTTGAATTTTGGCTTAGAGATAGATGGGAATTTGAAGTTAGTTGTAGGTTATATAACAGGCTATATAAGGTATGTACCTTTTGTCGTGAAAACAAAACTTGAAGGTTAGCCAAGCATATTAAGTGTCAGCCTCCGAATTTCTCTTGCGAAATGTAGGCATTCATCCATACTTTTTGAATGTAGTGCCGGTTGCGCCATCTGTCGTTATGGAGCGGCAAGTCTTGCTTCGTCAATTATATGTGGGGAGTGTAGATATCGCCGCTACAGTGTTAGTTTTTTTATTTTTTTATTTATTTATTGTAGATGATCGAAGAATCCGGGGATTGGCTAGTGGGCGGTAACCTGGAGGTATTCGAGCGTATACGCTGGAACGACGGTCTCGATTCGTACCGCCTCACGCCCAACGAGCTTAGGCAAAAGTTCAAGGAGCTGGGTGCCGACGCCGTGTTTGCATTCCAGGTAAACTATCTATCGACAAATAATCGCCAGTTTCAATAATCAAACTTCAGTAAGAGGTAGGCCTACTCGAACTGGTTGGTTCATGCGTCATGCTCGTGAACGGGTGATGTTAATGTTTAGTTACAATGAAGATAAATACCACTATTTGTATTTATACTGCATGAAACAGCAATCAAAATGCAAGTCATCAATTAATGTATATTTAATCATTATGTAATGAAAGGTGACTTCATGAATCATCTCTGAAGTCATTTTTCAATTTGACGTCATTCAAAAAAACAGCCCTTGCTGAGTTTCTTGTCGGTTCTTCTCAGTACAAGTTCTCCCGCCGTAGATTTAAGAACCGATGGCGTAGCTTCTAGACATTCATGAGTGCTTGTAACAGCCTAAACTGAATAAATAATTTTGATTGTGATTGTGAATTCTATTGTCAAGTTATTTTTGTTATTAACACTATAATAACAGCTGTTGTTAGATAACGGAACCAGATTATCATTACCTTTTACTGGAGTATGATTATTGAGCTGGGCGCTGACGCCGAAGTTATGAATTTCCAACTCCCTCAAACCGAAAATTTAGACGTCACAAACAAACGTAGCGGTGTTCGGTGACGCGAAGAAGATCGGAAAATCATTGAGTGCATCGGAAAACCATTAGGCGAGAAGCTCAAAATCGATCGGCTTGGAGAGTCAATGTGGACACCCTCTGCCCTCCTATCTAGGGTACACTGGACATAGAACCTTTTTTTTGTAACAATCAAAACCTCTGTTTACAGACGACGGCAACCGAACGGACCTCACACCCAGCACTCGCAAACGTCACGGGCACGATGGGGCTAACCCCCAAAGTAACCCGCGCCATTTACGATCACGCTTAACTATCTACTAAAAAGCCCTGCGAATACCCTCTTCGCGATTATTGAAAAATATTATGTATTCTTGAATATCTAATGGGTCACGACTGTTAAAGTAGCTTTGTTCCTTATTAACAGAATTATAGACTACTGGACTTGTTTTTTTCTTTTCAGTTTTTATTTGAAGTATAATTATGCAGTTGGGTTTTGTGATTTTTTATAATATAAAATTATTATTATTGGTTGGCACATGGCAAGTTTATTTATCTATTTTTTTTTGCCGATACATCGAATATTTTCTATTCAATAACAGGTACCTAAATCAGTGATAATTAATCAGTTCATCTTTCATTGCGCTAGGGCCCATTCATTAAGGGGAGGGAGGGGGTCGAAGAAGTGTGACAAGGGGTGGGAGGGGTCCTAAGTATTGTTACGTCACATTTCAAAATCTAATACCTACTTTTGAACTATTATTAAAAATCTTTAAAATATGTAGATCTCTATCTGTATGGGGTTGTATTTGTTTTTTTGGCTAATTTTCGATACTTATTTTGGAAACTGCTGTATTAATAATAATTTCTAAATTTAAAATAGCAAAATATGTGTCGTCTCACTAGGGAGGGGTAAAAAACACGTTATTATTGTGACGTACTTTATGGATGACCCCTAATTAGGAATTTTGTGAGTATATTGTTTCAAGAATATTACGAATGTCATGCATGACTGGACGGACTTGACATATACCATAATGATTTAGTTGAAGGTGTCACACACTAAAATGTGACGTTACTTATGATAGGGTGGCCATCATCCATATAAAACTGTGAGATTTTTAAACGCGATTTTAAATTAATCGGGGATAAAAAAAAGTATCTGTTCATATAATAATATATGTTTCATTGTTGCCGGAATCCGTCTACCAATTTTGAACCATTTCCTTTCAGCCAAATCCATTCAGCAGTTTTTATGTGATTGAGTAACGAACATACAAACTTTCACATTCATAATATTAGTAGGATTCATAATATGATAGATAACACTTTATTGTGCACACCACATGAAATATTACACACTAGGACAAAACTTAAAATAGTGAACAATTGGCGGTCTTATCGCCACTTGTAAATAGCAATTTCTGCCAGACAACCATAGGATGGAGAGAAGAAATTTAATAAAAGAGGGGGTGTGCTAATATAAAAAATAAAAATATTACAATAAAATATCCACGATTAAACATACTCATGAATATCTACTATGCACTAAAGTATACATATTATATTAAATGAATGAGTAGAGACATACACATACATACAGTTGGAACAACGCAAACAACTACTGTGAAAGGAAAAATCTTTTATTTGCTTCTTAAGTAAACCTATCGTTTCATCACGTCTGATGATAACGGGGAGAGAGTTCCAGAGGCGCACAGATTACACAAAAAGAATATTTATAAAAGGTGCTATTATGTGATGGAGTTTTAGGCTCAAATTCTCAGATGAGCGTAAAGACTGAGAGTAGGATCAGTGGAGAAAACTGAAATGTTCTTTAAGATAAGAGGCATTAAACAAAACTTTGTAAAGAAGGGAGAGTATATGAGTGTCCCGGCGACGACGAATTGGAAGCCACTTGAGTTGAGAATGAAACTGGGAAACATGATCATATTATCTTAAACCGAATATAAACCTGATGCAGAAGTTTTGAAGATGCTCAAGTTTATTTAGCTTGTCCTCCGTAAGATCCTAGATAGCATGATGATATGATCTATTATATTAAGGTGTATAATAATCTTGAGATTATTTCTGTTTTGTTTTTTTAACTTTTTTGTTTTTTTTTAGTTGAGGAATCCAATTCACAATGGTCACGCTCTTTTGATGCAAGATACACAGAAGCAACTCGTGGAGCGAGGTTTCAAAAAACCAGTTCTTCTATTGCACCCGCTTGGTGAGATTAAAGTTTTCTTTGCGTACTAGAAATAGATTTGATATTGTAATTGCCTGCCACTCTATTCTCAGCCTTAATCACTCTCAGCTGCATCACTAATGGCTCAAGTACACTTGGTCATTAGCCCGTTTTCGAGTACACGAAAGAAATTACTCGAATTCGGGCACCCGAAGCAATATTTAAACTGGCATACGGGCTGGAAGTAAACAAAACAAAAACTACCCGAATACGAGCATACTCGGCTCCGTTCATTTACACTAAGTCATTTACCCGAATTCCATTGGCAGTCACGTTCGGGCTAACGACCAAGTGTAATCGCGCCATAATACACGAATTCGTTTTTACCGCCCTAATAAATGCTATTCATTGCAAACTATTGTTAATAATTACTGTCGTTTCAGTGTCTTTTATAATATTATTATTTGCAAATAATTGAGACTTTTCTCGTAATTTCATCAGGTGGGTGGACGAAAGACGATGACGTGCCTTTAGAAGTGAGGATCAACCAGCACAAGGCCGTCCTCAATGAAGGAGTTCTGGACCCTCAAGCGACTGTGCTTGCTATTTTCCCCTCACCGATGATGTACGCCGGACCCACTGAGGTAGGAACCAGGAATCTTACTTGTTACTGGATCAACCGGCACCAGGCCGTCCTCAATGAAGGAGTTGAGTTGTTTTGTAATAATTTACTATTTTTTTTATTTAAAGATGGTTTAAATATTTTTTATAGTGAGTTGACAAAAGCAAAAGAAAGAAAAGTTTACTTTACCCTGTCATCACCCATTTCTTTCGTTAACTATTCCTAGTCTCCGTCTCGTTTATCCAGGTGCAATGGCACGCTAAGTGCCGTATGAACGCCGGTGCCAATCACTACATTGTGGGCCGCGACCCCGCCGGCCTACCTCATCCCGACGGGTCCGGCGACCTCTACGACCCACGGCACGGCGCCATGCTGCTGACCGTCGCACCCGGCCTCAACGACCTCGAGGTCAGTGACCCCACGCACAACATACTCAGAGGGTGACCTTTACGACCCACCCGTACGGCGCCATGCTGCTGACCGTCGCACCCGGCCTCAACGACCTCGAGGTCAGTGACCCCACGCACAACATACTCAGAGGGTGACCTTTACGACCCACCCGTACGGCGCCATGCTGCTGACCGTCGCACCCGGCCTCAACGACCTCGAGGTCAGTGACCCCACGCACAACATACTCAGAGGGTGACCTTTACGACCCACCCGTACGGCGCCATGCTGCTGACCGTCGCACCCGGCCTCAACGACCTCGAGGTCAGTGACCCCACGCACAACATACTCAGAGGGTGACCTTTACGACCCGCCCCGTACGGCGCCATGCTGCTCACCGTCGCGCTTGGCCTTAACAATATCGAGGTAAGTGACCTCGTGCACTACATACTCAGGGGGCGACATCTACGACCCGTAGCATGGCGCTATGCTGCTACTCGTCGCGCCCGGCCTTAAAACCTCAAGGTTAGTGACCCCGTGCACTAGTACACAGGGAACGATCTCTACGATCTGCAGCACGGTGCCATGCTGCTGCCCGTCGCGCCCGGCACTCCACGGACTCGATGTCAGTGCGCAAGTTTTGGTCGAATTATGAGCGTTTGGCCATAGCAACGGCGCCCCTTCATCCTTTTAAAGTTTTTGTGCCTGATAAAGGCGTAACACCTTTCTTAGCATCTAAGGTAGCAACAATGATGTGAGATTTCTCCCTGCTCTTTTCACTCAGCGCGTGAAGTAGGCGAGGCCGCATCCACAAAAATCGCAGATAATATTCCTGCACCGGTCACCCGACACGCACTCCGAGGATCAAGGTCCCTACAGTGCATGCCGAGAGGGTTTATTCGTTACATCCGGGGACTGCTGAGCTTTTTGAAGGATCTGGGATGGCAGGACTGATACCAATCCCCACGAAAAATAGGCACTGGGTGTCGAGTTCCGGAAACAGCGCGCCGTAATACTAAGGGTCGGTACATATCTGACCGAAAATACGTCGCGTATTATGAGTCGCGTCACGCCAGAACAGGCAAATATACAATAATACATTCAACCTTTCACACCCAACCGAAGATGCGTTAGTCGAGCATACAACGACGATACGCTCGACGCATTTTTCGTTAGATATGTACCGACCCTAAGAGGGTTTTATCGTGGCGCCCTGTTACGACTGGCCACGCAGTCCGCGAACAGGCCCGCCCGATGAAGATGCCCCTAGGTATATACCCTAGCGAACTTCTTGAGCAATGACAAGGAAGCCTGCGCAGTGGCAATTTTACATATAACAACTTTAGGTTTTGCTCAAGAAATTTGCCGCTAACTTTACCTGAGACATTGCAAGGACAAATTCGCTACCCTCGCCTGGAGTAGGATGGGAGAGCGTAGTTCTCACCGTCCCCCTAATGTTACGTTAATGAATCAGTCCGGAATCATACGACAACCACGACACGCGAATCATATACTAGCGGCCGCCCGCGACTTCGTACGCGTGGAGTTAGTTATTACTTTTGACCCCAAAAGGGGGCTTATTTCTATTAGTACACCTCTATGCCATCTATAGAGCATACATGTTTAATTTCAAGTCTCTTTCTTCAAAAACACAGGACTTAGGGCCCCGTATTACCTACCCCCTTAGGGGTGGAGTTTCGTGATAATATGTAGCCTATATGTTAACCCGACTTCTTAATAATATTCGTGCCTTTGTAGTAAATCCATGCAGTACTTTTTGAGTTTATCCCGGACATACATACAGACAAACAGAAAAATTCTAAAAACTATATTTTTGGCTTCGGTATCAATTGTAGATAATACCCCAAGTATTCTTTAAAAAAAAACTATTTACAGTTTTGATTTTCCTACCATTTTATTATAATTATGTATAGATAATTATCATTGTATTTTATTGAGTATATTTTACTATCGAAGGACTCAGTGTATAATTTATCAATTATTATCTACACTATATCTTTACCTTTTCCCTCCCACTGAAAATGTGGCGCGCCTGACCTGCCGACAAGCCCCTTCAAACCTTTTTTTTATGTGTTTGTGGTGTTCTCTTGGCAACATTTCTGGATATTAGACGAGTATTGTGCTAAGGGGCTGTTCAAGTATTACGTAAGCACTATAGGGGGGCAGGGGGGTCTTTGCTTTGCTTATTTTTGATGACATGGGGGGTGGGGGGTAGAGATGGTGATTACGTCAGCATCATCGATTAAGCCTTTTTAAGTACTGCTGCTCATGAAAGCTCATGAATCAATAAAAAAAAAACAGAATACATTAAAGGAAAAATGCATATAGGTACCAATGTTTACGTAAGGATGGGGGGGAGGGGTAAGAGCTTTGCTTACTTTTGCTGACGAGGGGGAGGAGGGGGTAAATAATTGTAATAAATCTGCTTACGTAATACTTGAACGGCCCCTAAAATTAAACCATTCAATTTCGATATTGGTTCGTGCTAAGCGTACCGTTTATAAATTTAGCAAGGAGGAGCTCGACATAAAACATTTTTGGACAACAGTACCCCTAACACGAACAAATATCGAATTCTAATAGTTTGTGAGTGCGAAATGTCATTGTAAAATTTTGTATGGAAACTTGAACAGCAGCGCCACAAAGGACGTAACAAGAACTAAAAATCAGTACACATTTGACAATTGAGATTCCGGACTCGCTCACTATGTACACATATATACAGCGCACTTGCTACTGCGCCATCGAACTCGAACATTGCTCATAATATCATTGTTAAAAAAATCTCTTTATTGAAGAAACAAGCTTCATAATTTCTTTATGAGTTTTATTGACACATTTTTAATTGTTGACATTGAACACTTTTCCTATTTCAGAGCACTGAATTATAGTTTATCGAAAAAATCTTTGGTTATTATTTTCATAGACATTGAACTATTAAAGAAATATTCCTTCTGCACAGATTATCCCGTTCCGCGTGGCTGCCTACGACACATCTGTTGGCAAAATGGCTTTCTTTGACCCCACTCGCAAGGAGGATTTCGACTTCATATCAGGAACCAGGATGAGAGGTAAATCACACTACAAATACCTGAAAATTAAAACATAATTACTTATTATTACTCAAGAGGTCCCGGGTTTGAACCTCGGTGGGGGCACATTTTTTTGTGATGAATACGAGCATTTGTACTCCAGTCATGGATGTTTAATATGTATTTCTATAAAAATATACTTATATATTATGTACAGTATATGTATTCTATTCGTTACCCTAGTATCCCATAACACAAGCCTTTATAGTGCTTACTTTAGGGCTAGGCTAATTGGTGTGAGTGTTGGAAATATTTTATTTATTTATTATCAGCCTATTAATATCCCCACTACGGAGACAGGTCTTTCCATTGGAGGACCAAGGAATACGGACCGTAACTCACGATTTTCCATGTGCAAATTGGTTAGTGCTAACGACTGCAGATGCAATGAGACCAACTAGTTAACGTGTCGAGAGGAGAGAGGCACAATGTAATAATTCTTTGGTTTTGCATCCTATGACTAGGATGTATTTCATATAAAAGTATTAAATATATTTTAATCGTCGTTATTTTCTAAATGTTTAACTATAAAGCATTTTGCCCTATCGCCATACTATTTGTCTCTAACATTCGTTCAGGTTGACTAATAGAGAATGCCTATGGTATTAAGTCCGCCGTTTGCATATGAATTTTAAATAAATAAATGTGTATGGCAATGAAGTTTAAATAAATAAATGTTTGGCCATTGAAAAATAGCTTAACTTCAACGGTAGCAGATTAGCCATAAAAACTACTGCGCACACTTCCTTGTCTATGGCCGATGCTCAAAAAGTTTTCCGGGATGTATAATAATACTACTGATATCTTTCTTTCCACAGGACTTGCTAGAGCAGGCAAGGAACCTCCCAAAGGTTTCATGGCACCAACAGCATGGAAAGTACTGTCAGAATACTACCAATCGTTAAAATCTAAAATGGAAACTAATTGAAACGCAGTCACAACTGAACCTCAAACAAATCATACGTAACATTTATAATAGGCTTTATTGACAGTTCTACAGGCATTCATTTATTTAGCTAGTCAATTGAGCTTGAATAATTGACAATTTTCTTTTATTGTTGTTTTAAAATAAATATATTTGTAGGTAGTTCTACAATTGAAATTCCTAAAGTACACCATAGTGTAATAAAATAATTTAAATAATCGATTTATCAGGTTTTGCTAATTAACTATGAATATAGCAATTATTTTTAAGACTACGGTATTAGTAAATATTGATAATTATGTTATACAAAATCAATATGTTTATTATTTTTGATTAAATGTTTATAAATTAGTAGAGTAATTGCAATTTGCTTTATTTTTTGCGTACTTAATTTTGATCATGTGTTACAGTGCAATATTTTATTATGTATATTCTACATATAAATGAATAATAACATTTTTTATTTTACATTCCTTGTAAATATATTATAATAATTTCAAGGTACATTCCTTTCATAATAACAATTATTATGGCAAAATTTATGTTGAAATATAATATATTTTAATGAAATAATATAATTTATTATAGTTTGATGCGGTGTGAGAAAATGTTAATGTATTGTTATTTTTTAAGAGATTGATTATACACTGTTACAGTTTCAGTAAAGGTGCTTTGACAACTATACAATAGTTTAATAAAGTATTATAAATATAATATGTACAAATTAGTTTTTGTTTTATTCCTGTATTCCCAAATCAGCTAGTTTTGTTTTAGTGACAAGGAACCTTATTACTTCATTTAAATACACCTGACTTTTTATTACGTTTCTTTTAAGTACATAACAATTAGTGGCGGCGCTAGGCGTTGGCGACGTCGGCCATCGCCGACGGCCTCGCGCACGAGGGGGCCTCGCAAAAAATTTTTACAAGTTACCTATTTATTTTCGTTTCTCCTGGCCTGGCTTAGGTAGCCGACCCCGAACAATTCGGAGAAAAAGCTATGCAGATGATAATGACTTTTATTATTTTCGAACACGTGCTTTACAGGTATTCAGAATCGTCTGTCTGGCTGGCAACACTATTTTTGTAATTTTCTATGTTTGTAATTATTTTTTGTCATCATTTGATTATCAACAATTAAACTCGTTTACGATATTTTATAATTTGGCTCACTTAATTTAACGGTTTTTTACTGCGAAGTAAAATAGGCCTCGCGAACTTGATGTCGCCGACGTCCACATGTGGTCTAGCGCCGCCACTGATGACCATAAACTAGATTTTTATCTAAAGTAAACATTCCGTCCATTTTTCAGCGGGCTGTAGGTACGTATAAGGAGACGGTAAATTTCTGTAACGGCAATGTAAATTGAAAAAAGGTGGTCCCCGCCATACAAATTACTAGTTTTTCCCAACTTGTAGAACAATGGTACGGAACCATTCATGTGCGACGCTTCTGTACCCCAAGCCGAACAACTAGCGAGAAAGTATTCGAATCGCCATAGCATAAGTTTTTTATTTGCTGCCCTAGAAGTTCTTCGACCCATAAGGCGCTTTGCAGGCGGCGGGGCGGAGCGGGCCGGTCAATTTCGCCGCGAACGATAGCACAAAGTGAATCCTATACTACAAACGCACACAGACGGCAAAAAGACCGCGCCGCAGCTGCCCGGCGGGCACTGGCGGCGCGGCATGTCCGCGGTTGCCCGCCGTGGATCGTACAAACCAGTTTATATGCAGTAACGCAGACGGCGGCGCGGGGCGGTTAGCTCAGTCCGCGCCACGCGCTTTTTAATGATGGACTATTCACTAGAACGAACGTCCTGAACTGACTGCCTCTGCCCGTCGTGTGCTTTGTGTACGCGGCGAGGGCAGCCGCAGACATCGACGGGCAGACGCGGTTTTTATTGCTTCGCGGACAAAAAGCCTGCCCCGCCCCGTCGTCTGCAAAGCGCCTAAAGGGCTCAGGTATGGTGGGAATTCGCAAGGTGCAAGATTTCAACCCTTATGTTATTCTGCCCTACTCGAGTTAATCCCAACCTTCCCCTACTATAAAGTTTGTCATTTAAAACTGCAGTAACATCAGAAAAGCAAAATAAAATTATTATCGAGTTTTATTCTTCACTTTAGAAAGAATTTATTGATATTTGAAATTTTTGGATTTCCCCTATGAACTTCCACCCTTCTTTTCCCCCCAAAGGGATTGGTCCATTTACAAAAATAATTACAAATTGAGGTAGGAAAATATTTAAAATCTATAAATATATATTGTGGGTATTACGTACTTCTTCCGTTCGGTATAACATAATATAAATACATAAATTAGTTATCGTTCGCCGCCATAGACCGCTTCGATATCATCCCCCAATTATCCACGTCACAGGTGAACGACTCTCAGAAAGTTGTCCTTAATTCTTTACCTGCAGGTAAATCTGCGGGCATAGTTACCAAGCAATTTTTCATTTCAATAACTAAGTACATTATATCTAACTGATAACGATATCACTAACGTATCAGCGTAGGTCGAGCCTAATTATCATATCTGTTTATTATTCTATTAACATTGTATTATAGACTTTATGCGCACGACTACAAGGTGCATGCATGTAAGTTGTTATTGTATGATAAACGATGAATGAATATTATTGGTAAGGTTCAGTGACGTGTTGAGAGTTGTACAGAGCGGTAGTACGTAAAGCAAAATGGCAACAGGTTTAGTGCTAAACCGGTTACTTAGTAAATGTGCAAAACAAAGTGGACTCAGATGCATGTCGTATTATCCGATAGATGAACATGTATTTGGCCTTACGAGTGAACAACAACAGGTAATTAGTTAAAACATTATGTTAATAGATGTTTTTGTTCCTAACTTGACAATGATTTCCGAATAATATTTTCTTACTTTTAATTAACTTCTGCGCGTTCCTTGTTTAGTATCACTAATTAATCATTGTATTGTACTTTGTCGATGGCTTGATTTGTTGGAGATGAATTTGTATGAAGTTGATTGATGGGGGGGAAAAGAAATAAAAAAGTATACGTTCTGCTGTCCAGCTAATTATGATTCATGTGATACAATGTGGGCAGTAAAGGTTTATAGTTCTTACGAGGGGAATGGGTCCATAAAAAAGCACGATTCAGGACTTTGGCTAAAACAGTGTACTGTTGAATAAATTGATTCCTTACCCGCTGGCTACTTATCTGTTATACATCAACAAACAGACAAGTTTTCATAAAGAGATTAAAGAGAACAAGATAAAAGATATTAAGATTCAGAATAAAGAGAACGCGTAATTGCACTTAGGACCTTCTATCAAGGAAACTGTATTAAGAAATAAATAAAATAACGTTTATTTCTGAAATTAAAATGTATCAAAGTACCATTGAAATTTGACCTTTGTTCTTAATGCAGTAGATCATTTTATAATTAAAACAATTTTAAAATCCTAAAAGTAACAGGAACTTTCAATTCTTTTTAAATTAAGAACAACGTTGGAGAACTAATAGGGAAGTCCTTAGTTTATGTATTTTATTTTAATATAATGTATATAATTGTTTAATATGAGACAAATACTTTTCAGCTGCGGAAAGTGGTATTCGATTTTGCCCAAAAGGAATTAGCGCCAAAAGCAGCGGATATAGATAGAAATAATAACTTCCCAGATTTAAGAGACTTCTGGAAGAAACTTGGAGAGTTGGGCGTTCTCGGTAAGAAACAAATCTTGCGTAAAAACAAAAAAACAGCGTACCTATGTGCTGCTGTGAAAGTCTAACAACATCTAATAATTATAAAATTCTCGTGTCAGGATGTGCGTAATTGAACTACTCCGAAACGGCTCGACCGACTTTCGTGAAATTTTATGTGCATAATCAGCAGGTCTGAGAATCGGACATTTAAATCTAAAGAAAATATAACTAGAAAAAATTCCACGCGGACCAGGCAGCAGACGGGACTCGAACCCGCACCTTTCGCAATCCGGGCGAACGCACTGACCAATTATGCTACCGCGGCCCTCACGGACCGCGTCGAAATTCTTCTAGCCATTCTTAAGCTGCAAGGCAGCGCTATATCTTCGCATTATTGATAACCCACAATGTCAAATGAATACTTTTACAAGTATTAAACATTTGAAAGAAGATATAGCAATTATAGTTATAATTTTCATTATTTTATAGCATGTAACTGCTTGATGTTTAAATCTAAAGAAAATATAACTAGAAAAAATTCCACGCGGACCAGGCAGCAGACGGGACTCGAACCCGCACCCTTCGCAATCCGGGCGAATGCACTGACCAATTATGCTACCGCGGCCCTCACGGACCGCGACGAAATTCTTCTAGCCATTCTTAAGCTGCAAGGCAGCGCTATATCTTCGCATTATAGATAACCCACAATGTCAAATGACTACTTTTACAAGTATTAAACATTTGAAAGAAGAAATAGTAATTAAAGTTATAATTTTCATTATTTTAAAGCATGTAACTGCTTGATGTTTAAATCTAAAGAAAATATAACTAGAAAAAATTCCACGCGGACCAGGCAGCAGACGGGACTCGAACTCGCACCCTTCGCAATCCGGGCGAATGCACTGACCAATTATGCTACCGGTCCGTGAGGGCCGCGGTTTTTTTCTTTAGATTTAAACATCAAGCAGTTACATGCTTTAAAATAATGAAAATTATAACTATCGGACATTTATTTTAAATGTCCCCTAAATGTTAAGGGTGGTCCAACCTTATTTTTTTTTTGACAAAATATTTCATTTTATGATCCATTATACAAAAATAGATATAACCCTAAATTTTCATTCTACCACCAACCCCTTTTTTTTATGGCGTTACGAAGTTCGTTGGGACAGCTGGTATCCTTAAATCGTTATAAAAATAATTAAAAACATACAAAAGTGGTGGTAGTCGATTTTCAGTTGAACATGGCAAAAGTTTCTAAAACGGACAAGTATCTACTTCGGCAATCTTCATCGGAAATCTATATTTGACATTTCTTATTGCTTGCGATAATGTTACAATGGTTGCGTAAATAAAATTTCAGGTATAACTGCAAGCCCCGATTATGGAGGTACAGGAGGAAAGTATTCGGATCATTGTGTTATTATGGAAGAACTATCCAGGTACGTATGTAAACTTATTGAAGTAGCATAAGGCCAGTAGAGATAAGAATCAGAATATTGAGAATGATTTTATAGCACAGTGTGACCTAAACCCGCACTTTACGCACGCTTTTCCGTGACCTAAGTTGCCTATTTCTGCACGGTGTGTAAATGAATTGACCAACTTCACTCATGTAGAATTAGTACATTACGATACGCGTAACTTAACTTTACTATGCCAATCAAGGAATAAACGTTCATGGATACATTGAAATTCTATTTTGTTGTAATGATATTTGATTTTTTCCTTTTGAAATATACTTTCAAAATGTCGCTCTCGCTCTCTCCTCGCTCCGCTCGGGCGCTAACTTCACGCCGTGCAGTAATAGGCAACTTAGGTCACGCCTATCGTAATGTACTAATTGTTTTTCATTTTAGAGCTTGTGGGAGTATTGCATTGTCGTATGGTGCCCACTCCAACTTATGTGTCAACCAAATTAATAGGAACGGCACACACGAACAAAAGACCAAATATTTGCCAAAGGTATGTGGTTAACTTCCGTACTCAGGCACGTCCAATAAATTTAATGTCACCTTAAGTAACGTCTTGTCTCTATTTGTTATAGTAAAGGTTTCAAATTTAGCATTTGACGAACAAAAGCTGACCATTAACAAGGCGTAACTCGGTCCGTATTGGTTGCAGTGAAATTACACAAAAAGCTTTATCGTGTAGAATTTTACCCTCTATAGATTTTTTGATAAAATGGATATTTTTCGAGTTATTCTTGAAAAACCCATCAAAAACGTCAATTTTGTCGTTGAAAAACTGTTACTTTCGATTGTGAATAACTCGAAAAATAATAGTTTTTCAAAAAATATGTACTTATGGATCGTTTTTTACTTAAAATTACTTTTTATCGGTTTCTGTAGTCAACAAGTAATAAAAAATTTCCACCCCTGAGATGGGGTGGCAACAATCCCCAGGATAAAGACCATAAAAGGTGAAATTCCGAGCCCTCCAGAAAATGAGACGCCTCTGCCACTTAGAAGTGTGTGGAGGACATGTATATTTGGCGGCTCAACTGTCCCTCAGTGCGGTGGGACCATGATAAAAATAAATTACCCGTAGACCCACTGGTGAACACTATGTATTTAGAACAGTGGAACAACGGGAAAAAATAGCCGTTGATCCACTATGTTGGTGGGACCAGTTGAAATAACCGATTTTACAATATATTTATTTAGTCCTAAAAATACAAAAATGAAATTAAAAAAAGAAAAATATCCTTGCGACCATTGCTTTATTACTTATAAAGAATTCAGAAAATTATATTAAGCTTCAGTCTTGCTTTCTCGCTGGCGAATCTTTTCACAAAATTCTCAAAATTAACATTTTGTTAAAAAAAACACTCCATAATGAATGATTTTAAATATCTATAGGTTTTTAATGTTTGTGTGAGAGCGTAAGCCGGGATTTCCTTTTAACGCACGTATTTTTCCAAAATTACTAAATATTATTCCGTAAATCTGAGCGCAGCGCCCGCCGCGGCGCGGCGCCCTAGGCTCAAGCCTTATTAGCCTGTGGGTAAAACATGCCCTGCCTATATCTTTTTAATTTTTTGGTTCATTGACTTTGACGGTCGGATTGACGGTCTAAATAGAGTTTCGTTTAATTTACACCGTGATCATCCTTATTATTAAAACGATTTTTTTAAAGTAATAGCTTTAACACACGCTCGAATTTGGTCCGGCAGACCAAATCCGCCTACTAAGTCTGTTCTCGCTACAGACGACTGAATCGGACAGTCGCTTTACGTATGCCTTCAAGTGCACACGGTGGTCATCATGTCGTTGGACACGAAAATTATGGTGGTAGCGGCAACATTAGCAGCAACGTTTCAGCCACCACGTAAAAAGCGGAAAAAAGAAGAGAATGGGCGTGAGAGTGCTTAAGAGAACGTGACGAATTTAGTCACATAAAATTGATAACAATTTTAGATGAAGATGATTTTAAAATAAATTTGCAAATGAACCGCGAAACCTTTGAAAATTAATTAAATTTCCTCCATAATGTAAAATGAGCGCCACGCGGCCGTCCTTCTTGGCGTTCCGAACACGACTAGTCGTAGTTTGTTCGGCCCAACCACACGTCCAGATTCAGTACGGAGCAAACCATATCCCATGTGCAAACTAGCGGACCGAGGCGGACTCAATTAATAATAATTAAGTTCGCAGGACTACTCTACAGACGGTCAGATTTGGTTCGGATGCGAACCAAATTCGTGGTCTGTTCGAACCAAATTCGAGCGTGTGTTACAGCTTTAAGCTGTCGTTTTGGAAGGACGAATATTTATGAGGTATTTCTTACTTAACATGAATTTTACAGTTGTGCTCAGGAGAACACATGGGTGCTTTGGCGATGTCCGAGCCGGGAGCCGGCAGTGATGTCGTTTCAATGAAATTAAAGGCTGAGAAAAAAGGTGACTACTACGTGCTCAACGGAAATAAATTCTGGATAACAAACGGATCCGATGCGGACGTTTTAGTGGTAAGATTCTTAAGCAGCAAACTACGATGCCCTAATAGGGAAGGAAACAGAAAGTAGTTTCTTATAACTCAAATGGAAAGTAGTTTAAAAAAAATGTTTTAAATTAATATAAAATATTAATAAGTGAAAATGTATATATTAAATACTAATCGCAGAAAAATAGGTATTAGAACATTTCCTGCATAACCGTGAATTATAATATAAAACATAATAGATTTTTCAAACCGTCAAAAAATATTGATCTTTAGGATGTGGATGATAGCAAAGTCCGCGCTGTTTAAGTACAAAATGCATAATTATGTCCAAAACCTATTAAGATAAAACCATGCTATATTTCCAGGTCTACGCAAAAACAGACACGACAAGCAAACCACAGCACGGAATAACAGCATTCTTGATAGAAAAAGGTTTTCCCGGATTCACGACTGCACAGAAACTAGACAAACTCGGCATGAGAGGATCAAATACATGCGAATTGGTGTTCGAAGATTGCAAGGTATAGGTGGCGGCAAACTTCTTGAGCAAAACAATAGACAAATAAATTTGTGCAATAAACGTTTTTGTATGTAAAATTGCTACTGCGTAGGCTTCCTTGTCTATGGTCATTGCTCAAGAAGTTTGCCGGGGTGTGTACCTATCAAAGTTTCCAAAAAAAAAATCATAAGATACTATACTATACATAAGAATTAACAAATAGTCGTATAAATTTTAATGATGATTTTTTGCATAAAGGTCGAAGTTTCTGATAATTTTCATCGTGGGTCTTCTTGTATTTTCATACCGTCAAAATACTGATTTTATGGTTGTGTCATGTTCATAGTCCGTTTAAGGTCTTTAAATCCGAATACTTTATGTCTTTGCAAAAAACTTTCTGTTACAATAGAATCTAAGTAGAACAAATAAAAAAATAGTTTTGTGCGCACATCACATTTCAACATCTGAAATGAAACTTCTTTTCTTTAATAACCTAATATTAGGCGGCGCATAAGGGAATGGAGCAGGGCACGCATCACTCATATATATGTATGTGTATATACATCACTACTAGGGACAGAGAAAGCGACTTTGTTTTATACTATATAAAACAAAGTCGCTTTCTCTGTCCCTATGTCCCTTTGTATGCTTAAATCTTTGAAACTACGCAACGGATTTTGATGCTGTTTTTTTTAATAGATAGAGTGATTCAAGAGGAAGGTTTATATGTATAATACATGCATAATATAAATAAATAAATAAATATTTCCGACACTCACACCAATTAGCCTAGCCCCAAAGTAAGCACTATAAGGCTTGTGTTATGGGATGCTAGGGTAACGGATAGAATACATACACTGTACATATATAAGTATATTTATATAGAAATACATATTAAACATCCATGACTGGAGTACAAATGCTCGTATTCATCACACAAACATCTGCCCCCACCGGGATTCGAACCTGGGACCTCTCGAGTCGGCGACAGCCATGAAACCCGGCGTACAAACCACTCGGCCACGGAGGTCGTCAATATAGTAGATAAACACTGATAATTGTAGAGGTTTTTAATGTAAGTTCGTAAATAAACACATTTTTTGCGCTTACATTGCAAACGCTGGCTGAACCCCACGAGATAGATCAAAATAATGTACTACAGTATTGTACACCTTAAAAAGGTCTACAAAAAAGTCCGCGATGGTATATGTCTATCTCTTAAGGATAACCCACAATAACCAATTTTTATCCTATACTTTTTACGAGAAATAATAGATTATTTACGAAGCGATTTTAAGCAATATAACATTCATCCTTATCCAATTAAGTACCTTAAATACATTGTGCATTTAATATAGAACAATTTGGCCCTATAACGCATATAATTTAAATGAATATTTTCGAAGATATTACAAATTTAAAATTCAGGGACATAGCGGTTCCGACGCTACCGGGCTTGGCGGTGCGTGCCTATTGTAATTGGGTATTAGAAGAATGTCATTGTTTATAATACAAGCCTGAGAACAAAAACTATAGTCTACAGCTACACTACAGCTTTACACCGAAGCGAAGCGAGGGCGGGCCACCAGTATATATATATATTGTTAAGTGTGACGCTCGTAGCGTGTCAGCCTTCGCCAGGTTAACCTCCAACTTTAATGCTCGTCGGGAAAAGCTGCGCACGCATATATATATATAATCGTGTGATGCTCATGACGCACTTCCGTTCATCTTTTCCATAGGATTATCCCATTTACACGCCGTCCGAAAAGAAGTTTCACTTTAGGTACAATATTTATTTTCTCATATCATTGTTTCATAGGTGCCAGCAACGAATATCCTCGGTGAAGAAAACAAAGGTGTCTACGTGCTGATGTCTGGATTAGACTTGGAGCGTCTGGTGCTGGCTGCAGGCCCAGTAGGACTGATGCAAGCGTCCATAGACATGGCATTCCAGTACGCACACACAAGGAAACAGTTCGGAAAAGCTATTGGGGAGTTCCAATTATTACAGGTACCTAAATAGTACATACTCCGGCACTAATTGGCGAAGATTAATGGTAGCCATACACACTACGAGAAATCGTTACGATCAGACTGTACAGTTCGAACGGAACAGTTTATCGGACGTGGCGTACGTATCGAAAACTGTGCAGTTTTATAACACACATGCTACGATTTATCGGTACCGTTCGGACGGTACAGTCTAATCGTAACGATTTCTCGTAGTGTGTATGGCTACTATAAGGGTTTTACAATAAGAATACTAAGATGATTGACGACTTAAAATAATTTTTAAAATAGTGTTGATTATATACGCGACATTGAGCGTGTGCCGGAGCAAACTCTATAACGTTACAAATGTGTGCTGATTAGGAAACCATAACTCTGGTGCATCAGATACTAGATATTATAAACCGACTGTTTGTCTGTAACTCAGTAAATAAGATTCAAGGGGGCTTTTAATGATACAGGGTAAAATTGAGTTACGTTCAGCGCATGTCGGAGCAGCCTCTGCAACATGGCGAAGGTGTGCTGGTTACGAAACCATAACTATAGTGCATCAGACACTAGATATTATAAGCCAACTGTTTGTTTCATCATCATCATCAGCCTATTTAATGTCCCCACTGCTGGGGCACAGGCCTTCCCTATGGATGGAATTGGCAGATTGGGCCATGACCCACCACGCGTGCCCAGTGCGGATTGGGCGGTGCTAACGACTGCAGATGCAACGGCTTAACGTGCCTTCCGTAGCACGGAGGAACTCGAGATGGAAGATTTTTGGTCACCCATCCAATGTCCGACCACTGCGAAAGTTGCTTAACTTCAACGATCGCAGCCGAACGAACTGTTTGTTCGTAAATCAGTAAATATTATTTAAAAGGGCTTTCCATAATGCAGGGTAAAATATCAAGTATGTACACGACGTTAAACACGAGCCGGAGCTACCACTACAACGTCGCGAAGGCGTGCTGATTACGAAACCATAACTACAGTGCATCAGACACTTGATATTAAAAACCGACTGTTTGTTTGTAAGTCAGTAAAAATATTTGATTCAAAGGGCTTTTCATAATGCAGGGTAAAATGGCAGATATGTACACGACATTGAGTGCATGCCGAAGCTACCTTTACAACGTTGCAAAGGCGTGCGATGAAGGTCACGTGAACAGTAAAGATTGTGCGGGAGTGATACTTTACTGCGCAGAAAAAGCGACGCAAGTTGCCTTAGATGCCATACAAATACTTGGTAAGTGGCAGGAGAGGAGAACATAATCTTAAATAAATAGGTATATTTTATTTTTCTTGAAAATACAATTATTGAGGACATGTTAATTTTAAATATTATTAACATACAATACAAAAGTTAAGTCTTAAATTCCATAACACTTCAGTTTGGTGGTTATGTAAAGATATAATCGCACAACAGTATATTTATGCTTTTGTAATAATATATTATGCAATAGAAATTACGTAAGGAACAATTAGAAATGTATGGAAATACCTACGTAGTGCAATTTAATCTATTATCATAAAAACGGTTTAACTTTATTTATCTGAATAAAACATTAGTGATATTGGTAACTTTACGACAAAAAAAATCACCTGGGTGACATCACCCAAGATAATACTACTGTGCAAGTTTTTATATATAACGTATTCCTCATTTCATGTATTTTTTTTTGACTAGGTGGAAATGGTTACATTAATGAGTACCCAACGGGCAGAATATTAAGAGATGCTAAACTCTATGAAATTGGTGCTGGCACATCAGAAGTCAGACGGATGCTTATAGGAAGAGCACTCAATAGTGAATATAAATAAATAGTTTACCTACTAATAGAAGTAAATAGAAAATTATATATTTGTTTTCGTTGAAAATATTGTTTTAATCACTTCCCTATATTATTTAAATATTTTCAGTTGGTAATAGTAACCTATACTCATAAAAATAATTAAAGAGAAATGAAATTGTCTGGAATGAGGATCCGTAAGAATTTTAGTTGTGAATGCAGATTTATAAAGCTAAGCCCGTTTGATGAAAAATTGGTGTAATTGGCATAAAAAACCAATCCTTCTAGAAGAAAGACTTGTTGTCACCATTCGGTAAGTACGAAACAAATAATTTTAGCGCTTAGTTAATCTAATATATAAAATTCTCGTGTCGCGGTGTTTGTGGTTAAACTCCTCCGAAACGGCTTTCCCGATTCTCATGAAATTTTGTGTGCATATTGGGTAGGTCTGAAAATCAGACAACATCTATTCTTCATCCCCCTAAATGTTAAGGGTAATCCACCCCTATTTTTTTTTTAAATTTTAGATATTTTATTTTTATTTTTTTATGATACAGCATAAGTAAATACATATAAAACCCAAAATTTTCACTTCTCTACCACTTACCCTTATTATTATGGCGGTACAAAGTTCGCTGGGTCAGCTAGTAAAAGATAAAGTTATTAGATTTATAAAAAGATTATAACTTAGATTGATTTAATCTAAGAATAATAATTCAAATACAAATCATTTATTATTCGGACAACATAGATCATACTAAAAAAAATCGGAATCAAGTGCTAGTCGGACTAGCGCACGAAGGGTTCCGTATCATTATCATTAATTTAATTATAATTAATTTAAAATGACAGTGCCAGCGCTGACCAGCGCGTGTCGGCACTTATCGGAGCTGGTTCATAGAAATGCGTGCGCAGGTTACCGGAAAGGACCAGCGCTTCTGGTCGGCTTTCGGCATTCTTCTGTATACGGCCATACACTAAGCTCATTCTTATTCATTATATGCACTTAATCCAATTTTATTATTATAAAACAAACAGATATTCGTCACTCTTCAATCCAACTACCGAATGACATTAGTCTTCTTCTTCTTCCTTGTTTCCTTATGACTGAGGTTTGTGGCAGAATGAAGCTATTCCGTATGTTGGGGCTCCATGTTCTCCATGTTGTTCAGTTTTCGACCATCCCGATATACGTCTCAGGTCTGCATGTCTGTTTGGCAGGTCTTCTTTACGGCATCGGTCCATTGCGTTGGTAATCATCCACGCCTTCTTTTTCGTCCCACATGGCCTTACAATGTACACCTCTACAGCAATGAGTCCGAAGTACTGAACGACACGATCGAAACGTTAGTGCGACGCGCTGTCAACGGGATCCAATATATTCGCCGCCATTTACATCTTAAATATTTATTATTTTGTTTCGAACACGTGCCTTCAGTGTCTCTTAAGCATACATAAATAACGAGAGGACAAGGGTCTCTCTGAGATTGACTTTTACTTGACTTCAAAAAGGAGGACGATTCGGTCGGTTTTTCTGATGTATTGTCACAAACGCTCTCGAAACAGAATCGCGAAAGTGCTATAGATCGAATGTGCCAGAGCACCGCGGGTCGCGATAGAGGTCGAGTAATGCGGCTCATTCTAAAATAATAAAATAAATAATAAATATTTCCAACACTCACACCAATTAGCCTAGCCCCAAAGTAAGCACTGTAAGGCTTGTGTTATGGGATGCTAGGGTAACGGATAGAATACATATACTGTACATATATAAGTATATTTATATAGAAATACATATTAAACATCCATGACTGGAGTACAAATGCTCGTATTCATCACACAAACATCTGCCCCCACCGGGATTCGAACCCGGGACCTCTCGAGTCGGCGACACCATGAAACCCGGCGTACGAACCACTCGACCACGGAGGTCGTCAAAAATGAGCCTTATGTAGTGCGGCGTAAGGGAGAAAGTGCAACGTTATCAGCACTTGTTTACAAATTATGCGCGTTACCTGCGTAGGTATAAGTAGGTACCACGTACTCGCGGGTGCTAGCTAACTCTCAATTTAACAGGTACTTTCTAGAATGCGTCGATCAGCGTATATAAGCGCGATTGGCGCCGCGCAGAGACAGTTGAGTTTCAACAGCGATTTCGGAACGAATCCAAAGGTGATCAAAGTGCAACAAAAGTATTCAAGTGCGATTGTTTAGAGACTTGTATAGTGAAATAGTGTTTAGCGAGTGTTTTGTAATTAACATTGTGTGTTAAGTGTGTTTTTTTTTTATAGATAGGTCCGACAAATGACTCCACCCCACCTGATGTTAAGTGAAGGTGAAGTCCAGACGCGAAGATAGTTGATACAGCAGTTCTACCTGCCACACCAGCCATCCTCACCCTGCCGGCCTGCATGTTGCTTCTTCACGCCTCTTTTATAGGATCCCAGGTTGTAAGAGGGAGGGAACACGTGAGCGGGCAGAGCATTCCATTTACGGATAGTGCGACAAAGAAATGAGTCACCAAATTTCTTTGTACGCGTTGGAATTGTGGCCACAGTAAAACGGTGACAACGTAGGCCAGCGCGCGTGGTCCTCTGAAGGAAAGGGGAAGGTGGGATAAGAGAGAATAACTCCTCAGAACACTCGCCGTGGTACAAACGATAGAACGCGCTTAGTGACGCCACGTCACGGCGTAATTGAAGAGGCTCAAGGTGTTTAGTCACCTCCTCATCGCCTATGATGCGAATCGCGCGCCGCTGTAACCTATCCAAAGCATCGAGCAAGTACTTGGCGAAGCCATCCCAGAGGTGCGAGCAATATTCCACGCAGGACCGCACTTGCGTTTTGTACAACAAGCACAGTTGATCGGGCGTGAAAAAACGCCGCACCTTGTTCAGAACTCCGAGTTTGCGTGAAGCTGTTTTGATCACGGTTTCGATGTAGTCCTTTGGATTCAGGTCTGAGCGAACTTCCATACCGAGCATGGAAATGTCGCTCTGCAGCGGTAGTGTTGTGCCCTGAAGAGATGGAAGGGGAAGGAATGGCGATGTTTTTGCCGTGAAAGCGCAAGCCTGAGTTTTCTTGGCATTGTACTCAACCAAGTTCCTGGTACCCCATTCGGAAATGTGGTCCAAAGCCTGATTGAGTTCAATGACAAGATTTTCCCGTTTCTTCTTGGTTACTGCCTGCCCAGCCGCTGCTTGTCCGAGATACCCCGCATGCACTGTACTATCGTCTGCATAGCAATGAATATTCCCAAGAGGAATCAAGTCATTGATATGCAGCAGAAAGGGAGTGGGGGATAGGACGGAGCCCTGGGGAACGCCGGCATACACTGACATGAACCGCGAACTGCTACCATCCGTAAGGACACGAATTCTACGCTCATGCAGGAAGTCAGCTACCCAAGAACAGAACTGGGCTGGCAGACCGTATGCCGGAAGCTTGGAGAGAAGGCTTTTGTACCAGACCCTGTCGAATGCCTTGGCAATGTCGAGGCTGATAGCCAACGACTCGCCACGCTTGTCGATAGCCTCACCCCAGATATGAGTTAAGTACGCTAGAAGATCACCCGTCGATCGTTTCGGTCTAAATCCATATTGACGATCATTAATCAGGGAGTGATCCTCTAGGTAGCGGGTCAGATGGTTATTAAGGACCCTTTCTAGAACTTTACATAAAACTGAGGTGACTGCTACTGGCCGGTAGTTTGCCGGGTCTGAGCGATCCCATTTTTTGGGCACCGGTTGCACGTTAGCATCTCTCCAAGTCTCCGGCACACGCCCCAAAGAATACGAGCATTGGTACAAGCGCGTGAGCACGGGAGACAACTCCGCCGCACATTTTTTAAGCACAACTGCTGGGATGCCATCAGGTCCACTAGCTTTCCGGACGTCGAGTGATTGCAATTCGGCACGAACTTAACGCTGCCTGATTTTAATATCAGGCATCGTTGTGCCACAGTGAGGTAATGATGGTGGCAGTGCATTGCAATCATCGATTCGAGAGTTAGCCGCAAAGAGTTTTGCCAGTAAATCGGCTTTCTCCTGCGGCTTATGAGCTAGTGTTCCGTCTGGGCATCTCAAGAGGTGGCAGCGAGGGCTGGCAGAAGTTTTTTTGCACGGCCTTGGCCAAACGTCAGTAGCTACGGGAGCCCGCAGGATGCGTTATAAGTTCCTGGCCAACACGTGCAACACGCTGGGCGTGAACTCTGTGGTGAATAAAGAACTGTCAAGCGTGAACTGGCATATAATTTCGAACCCCATCCCAACACTTAACAGTATGTACACCGATTACTCCGACATTTCTGATCCTATTTACGTGTTTTTTTTGTTCGATTTGGTCTTTTCATTCAATCACAGTTCATCTTTGTCTTTTTGGTTATTTCTCTTTTCCTCCAAATTCATCTCTAAGAGGATCAGAGCTGATTTCGTAATCTGAGCTCTTCTTACTACTTCTCCCACAGTCTGTAGTTACCACGGAACCGAGGTAAATAAGCTCCTGTAGGGCATCCAGGTCAAATAACTCCCCTGTTCTTCGTTTTGCACGGTTTATTTTCAGACCATATTCCGCACTTACTCTCAACACTGGAAAAGTTTGTCAAGTTCATTATCGTTTGCTACAAAAATGTTGGTGTTATGTGCAAAGTGAAGTTATTGATATAGCTAGTATCCGAGAATGCTACCATCCAAATATAATACTCTGCACTTTTTAATCTACATATTTCTGTCATGTTTAAGATCTGCTAGCGATTTGTCTTCAAATGTAATTTCTAGTCGCTCTTGATGGTATGTAGCAGTATTTTATTTGCGTGGGATATGATTGAGAATGGCTTGATAATTCTCACACTTACGTATAAGGCCTTTCATATCTAAGGGGGCATATTCAGGTCAACTATCAGCTATTGACCCGTTTTCCAGACTTTTAGTAATAGTAGGATTTTTATACCAGGTCCAGAGACTTTCAGCAGCTATATATGCTTATAATTCGTTACCAACGCAAGCTTTTCGTTTTGGATGAGCAAGTGCTGATTTACCTTACTGAGAAGGATATCTCGTTCTTAACACTATATCTTTATAAACTAGTAGTCTCACTTTCTCGACCAAGTCCAATACCTGGGCTCTGCAAACATATCTTTAATATGCCAATGATTTTCGGACCGTTCTATCTACAGACATAAGAAGTTGATTGAGACATTTAATCTCGCCTGCTTAGTCTTTGCACTGAGCTATGGAGTTTCCGGTATTGTTTTTGGCCAAAAATAGAGCCCAAGCCGCTTTCTTTTCAGGTGTCTTCTTTCCGTTATGGCAGACGTTTCATCGCTCATTCATGGAAATTTAATTTGTAGGTCCTTTAGAGAATCCTGTACTTACTCTTTTCCTTTCTCTTTGCCCCAGACTTCAGATTTTTTTACGAAGTGTTTTCTGATTCGAAAGGGTCTATGTCAAGGTAACTGTTTGGTGGGGTCTACCAACTTTCTATATATTTTCTCCATTTATACAGGGAAATAAATTCACTTCTACGTTTTAACCGGATTTTTATTGTGGTAACTTATAAATATAGAGGTAATTTTCTTGTTTGTGTATATGTTTGTTTGTATATTTTTTTAGCTTTTGCTGATAAAACCTTATGATATATCTCAATCCCGAATTCTATGAAATGGCAGAAAACATTGACTTTTACAGCTATTACAGCTATAAAAAGGCTAGAAAAGCAAAATTTTATTAGTCTTTCAATATAACCCATGCCTTTTTTCGTATGCGTTTGAAGTACAGTTAGGGGGCGCCGCAGAAATTTCGCCCAGGTAGTAAGTACTTAAACCGGCCCTGCCTACATTCTCGGTCGAGGTTTATCCGAAGTGCGAGAAATCCATGTAGAACAATCTTGTGTTTTGTAAATCAAGCTAGTTGATTGAGCATAGTGATGCTGTTCTGTATCGCCAGTGTTGTGCCCTGAAGACAGGGAAGGGTTTTTTATGTTTATGCAGGAAAACGAGCTGAGAGTCTGTAACGTACCTTAATAATCGTCCCATGATTTCGACTATCATAGGTTCCATTTCACACATTTTATCATATAACATCATCGATATTCATCAGGCATCAACATATATTTTATTATGTATTCCTGGAAACACATAATTTCAAAAATATCACACACTATTCATCATTTTGTAAATACGTATAATAATTCCATCTGTACTGAAAATCACTATTCCAGAGTGCTGGACACTTACCGGCATTTCTCTTTATTCTGTTATTTATTTGTTTTCTTTAATTTTGCTTCGATTTAATCTATTTTTATTTTATTTATTTTATTAACATTTATGACAACTTAATGTTTTTTATCCGTTGCCATGGCTACCCATGACACGGATACTATCTCCAACTACGTCTATGAGTATTCAACCTCCACAGACCACCTACTTTGATTCTTTTTGGCTCGATTCGAACCGTGTCTAAATTTAAATGGTTCCGGACCTATAAAAGGCCGAGCCTCCCTGATCTTTCATTCATTTCTACGGCAAAAGTTGCCTACTCAACTTTTGATAGCTCGCTACCGAGCTCTAAATTAATTAAAGGCCTTGTCCCGGGGCCGACTGCCCCGGGACTCAAGAAAGACCTCAAAGCTATAAAGCACCTATTGACTCTCTAAACAACTCCTTAACCCTACTACTCTACTACTCTTCTCGTCATCTTCACGTACTCGCAACCTCATCGGTGGGACTGCCGTCTGGACTCCAGCTTCTTCGGCCAGCCTCCAACTGCTTCAGCCCGCCTTCTACCGACTCCTGCCGTTCTATCAACGCCTGCCACTGGCCGATATTCGCCGGCCAACCTACCAGCAGCGCCGCCAGCCACCACCAGGGCAGGCCAAGACCTGAGACGGCTGAACAGGAGCGCTTTTGCCTCCAAGGAGCGCCGTCCATCTGCCTGCAGTACGATCTCCGTTCAAGCCGCCCCTGAAGATCGCCTACGACCCACGCCCACTTCACCACTACCACTTTACACCCCACACTTAACACACACACCATACCTTTTTTTTTTATTGTTAATCTGTAAATACTTTATCTTGTAAATATATATATCCTATACTGTTCTTTTGATTTTTCCTTTAATTTTTTTGAAGTTATACTTCTTTAGGCGCGTTATGAAAAAATGATGAGAGTGAAATTTTCAGATGCGCGCGCATCACTGTAACACAAAAAATTAACAGCATGAAGTTGGTCGCTCTAGCGACCAACTTCATGCTGTTACTTTTGTGTTTACCTCACATTAAGAAAATCTACCAACAAAATAGAAATAGAATCTCTATTTTGTGGGTGCTAACGACTGCATTGTGAAGGCCTATCAAAAGTATTTATTAACCTGGAACAACGGAACCAAAGCGCGATTCAGGAGACTACAGCGCCATCTCTTGACCATTGGTGTAGTAGAACCAAAAACCACATCTTCATTTTTTGTAATAAAGTAACAAAAAGTATTTATTAATCTGGAACAACGGAACCAAAGCGCGATTCAGGAGACTACAGCGCCATCTCTTGACCATTGGTGTAGTAGAACCTAAAACCACATCTTTATTTTTTGTAATAAAGTAACAGTTATAGGTATTCATATTTATAATATTTATCCACATGTTTCTAGTTTGTATATTCGGAATACGTGTTTGTGTTTCATACAAGTGCAAATCACATATGTTCTAATAAATTATATTCAGTAGCGATTTTAATTGAATATTTTGATTATTTATTTATTTTTTCAAATTAAAACTGAACTTTATTGACTGTGTCCTTTTCCAGACTTTTTATTAATTTATTGTAATTAATTATTTGCATGCAATTAAAAACTAATTTTAAACGATGCCAAAGAAGGATAACTTCTCACGCGCCTACATAAGTACACGCATCCATTTTTTTCCTTTAATTTTTTTTCTATCTAGTTTTATTTTGTCGCTGCACAAGTCCTGCTCACTGCCGTCCATGGACACGTGCAGCACCAAGGGTACCTCTCATGCGTTGCCGGCTCTGAAGGAAAAGGTTAACCCGCCTTTTGCAGACCGGCATATCATAAGCAAGAGGGAAATCCGCCGCCGGAAGTTCCTTCCAGATCTTGCATGCACGCAAGAAAAAGTACCCGTAACGCATGGTGCTAGAACGCCAAACATCCCAAAGATGACGATTTTCGAAGGTAAAGGAATGGCGACGAATTTTTGCCATTAAAGTGAAAACCTGGGTTGTCTTAGCATTGAATTTAAGTTAGTAACCAAGTTCAATGCCAAGACAATAGAACTGGGGAGGAAAAACGTTGCTTGGAGAGACAACTTTTGTGCCAGACCCTGTCGAAAGCATTGATGATGTCAAAGATTTTCTAAAATATTAAGGTCACAACTACTTGCCTGTACTTGGTGGGGCCTGAGGGGGACCCCTTTTTGGGCATCTGTTGTATGCTGCAGTGTTAGCGGGGATGCCACCAGAGTCACTAGGTTTCCAGATGTCTATTGATTGCAATTACATACGAAAATCACTTTGTTGCCCTAAGAATATTTTCTCCAACACTTCAAATTATGCACATTTTTTTATTTTTAATAATACCCACATGCTTTCGTTTCTGTGCTTTCAAATATGTAAGTAAACCTATACTTACATCATTTGCTTTAGCCTTTCATAGAATATTCTGAATTTGCATCTATGTATTGCAAAAAGGAGAACAAAAAAACTATTGTTTATATGTTAATGAAATCGGTAATTTAGAGAATAAAAATATATTTTTATTTTAAGTCCATATGAGGTCACATTTTGGGATTAGTAGTGTGTTCTACAAACACTAATCTATATACAATTGATATATTATTTAAGTAATTGGTAACACAGTCTTTTGTAAATATTTGCTTTTATTATAAGATTTTCTTTTGCTTCAAGTAAAAAATATACTTATGTATTTGTATTATAATACATTCTAAGTATGCAATAAAAATAAACGTATACCTACCTCTTTATCTAGTTTCATTCTTCTTCCATTATGTTGATATAACCAATCATCAGTTCCACCAAAAGCTGACAGAGAAACTAATTGACAGTGACTCTACGAAGTGCCACCATTTCGGAGGGATGTACAGCATTTGGCCAGGGCTGAGCACACAGTAGTATACTTTTGCATCTTTATACTTTGGATACTTCAGTAAATCTGGTTGCCTTGGATCAACTTTAGATGTATTGTGCAATAATTCATGTTCATGAGGATACAAGAATTCTGAATCTTGCGGTGAGAACAAGAAAATCTGTTTTTCACCGACAACTTGTGTTAATAAATTCTTTTTAGGGTCATGGTGTAATGGTGATAAAGTTCCTTTAGGACCATACCAAGCCATTACATCTACTGGCTCATCTTTGTCAGCAAAACAACAATATTCAGGTTCAATTATGTCTTCCTTTAGTTCTGGTATCTGTTCAAATAGCTGATACTGAGCAAGGTACCCAGTAGAACCGTTTGTCTGGAATATAAAATCTTTTATAAAATCTTCTATTGTCATCAATTTCTGCGTCCATTCCGACTCTGTGTAATCTCTTCCTATTTCAATAGAGACTGTTCTTGCTCCAGCTAATTTTATAAAGTAATTCTGATCTCTCCATTTTGAAAGAGCTGGCCAGTGATTTATGCAGTTTCTTAAAACAACTGGTTTTTCAGCAACTATGTAGTTCTTATAAAAGTGCTCCATACTTGGGCAGTCAATAACTTCTATAAGATTTGCATTATATTTATTATTTTCAACATTCACTTTATCCTGATTTTTATTGGACGTCTCTGTAATACTGTGAGGCAATAAGCTCAGTGAATTAAGGTAACTGGCACAATTTTGAAGTAAATCAGGTGCTTCATCTACAGGGCATCCAAACATAATTCCAAAGTCAATTATTTTATAGAATTCTTTTACCAAGCTTTCAGTTACTTCTATTGTGCATTTTACTTTAGCTAATAGTAATAAATATGAGGCTATTGTAATTGTTTTCCTGAGATAGAGTTTAACCTCTTTCCAGTTTCCTATGTTAACTTGTTCATACATATAATCAATAATAGCCTGGATTTTGACGATCGCCAACAAATCTATTAAATCAGTTTCAGTGAGATAGCTGTTTATTAAAGATTTGCACGTTCCATCAAGATCTGCTACTTCTTCAAGGGCAACAAATACAGGTGTTTTGAACTCCACCAGACTTTTAAAGATTTCGCTACTAGGTAACATTGTATATATATATTATTTAAGCGACTAGATAAATAATACTTATTTGGGTCAGTCTACATTGTATTTGAGTTGAGAAATAACATTTAGTATTTAGTAGATTTTTTTTTGCTCTGTGGTTGTTTCCGTTTTACACAAAAAATTCGCCAATCTAAAATAAAATAATTTGAATTTGCAAACACCGACTGATTGACAAAATTGACATTGACAGTTGGCTGGCAGATACAGGTGGGTTGCGTTGCGTTCCATAACTACACTCTGAGTGCAATTTTTAAGGGTCTTCACAGACAGCGCTGCGGACAGATAAATTAAATCCTTTAAAATGATAAAGCCTTTTATATGATGACTTAGAGAATATTTATTATAAAAACAAACCAAACACAATGAATAATTCCGAAACCTTATAGTACTTAGAAAAATAGCAAGTTTTTTTATATACAATTCTTTAGCTTTTGTGTTACAAAGCGTGCCAAACCATTTGGTGCTCGAAAACCTACGACCTTATGGCAAAATTATTCTACCGCAGTATCGTAGAACGATTTTTTGCCGTAGTACGTGCACGGCTTTTAAGTGCCCATTCACAGCAGTCAGCCGATATATGCAGAATTGTGAATGTTATCGCAGCCTGCATAGCATCAGGCAACATCAAGCAGAGTCCTGCACGGCGGACATTGGTGTCGATTCTGGCATTATTCTCTAAACTTAAAGCTTAATTTAACATAAGTCTCTCTTTTACATTCTATTTAAAGAATAACCAGGATAAACTGTTGTCAAATTTTATTTTGCCAGAGTCGACCCTATTATCATTTATCTGAGCGGTGGACTGCAATGCAGGATCGTGAATGTGTCCCTTTAGAGTTACTTTCATTGACCTTCGTCTTTTATGAAAAATAAAATTATTGTCTATGATAAATCATATGACTTTATCACGTGATTGGTCAGATTATTTTATTTACAAAAGGTAGTTTAATTTTTTTGAAAATTTGGTAAATTAGACGTCTTAATTACGATTTACTGCATCTTAATGTATTTAGAATTTATGCCTTAGGCGATTCCTGTGTAATGGCTTCCTACTTTCAATATAGAAATCAACTGGTCGATATCTACTTACGAAGAAGTTTAAAGGAAGAAGAACTATGAATTCTCAGAACTTGCATCTTGATTCTTAAAATGAAACACCCAGGTGGGATAATGATAGAGGTCTCCGTAATATGATACGCAGAACGCAATGGCGTTGTTCGACCATTTCCTTTCAATTAAGAGAAAACTGTACACCGAATCCCACGAAGCGGAATGTCGAAAAAGGTACGTCACAAAATACTTCTCATTAAAGTCTATCTATTTTCAATCGAATTGGCGATGAAAAGGTTGACGCACGAATATCCGGCTTGTGCTGACAATCCGGGAAGCTTTCTCTGGTCCTTTTGCTGGGTGTGCTGACGCACGCAGCGCTGGCAGTGCGGCGAGCATATGACTGCGCGGGGCGCGGGCGTAGGCAGTGGCATCGCACGATCACTGATCGCGCTGCGAGGGGGAGGGGCTACCTCACTGTTTACTTATTATTTACATTCAAAGTAAGCCTGTTTAGTTTAGTTCACTAGCACATTCCACTTGTGACTCTTGTCTGTTGATTTATGTACTGCTATCAATGTGCATTTACAGTGGAAACACTTGTGATTTCGTGTTTGGGGAGTGTTTGTGACACAGTTTTCATTTAGTGCAAATTTCGTTGTTGATAAACAGCTGTGAGCAACTTAGCGACTATGAAATAAGATGAAATTTAGGTAATCTTAATCAATAAGAGGTTTTGATGAGTGTTTTATGGAGTGTTGGCTGAGTTACTATGAAATGTACAATTCTGTAGTGGTAGAACTTATTAATCTTGTTGGAGTTTGTGTGGTGTTGATGAAAGCAGTTTGAACTTGTCTTTGTCAGTTAGAATTGTTGAGAAATTATTGTATAGAGGTACTAGACAGAATTGGAAAGTTTAAGTTTAAACTTAAGAAATGATATCAACTCCAAAAGTGTGATTAGAAGTGAAACATTCATTACTTTACAACAAACATTGGTTTTCGTGATAGTAATGAAGAAAATGATTACCACTTGTTGGACCGCTTTTGTCCATCTCCACTTAAAAAGCTTCTTATTTAGAAATAAAACCTTACATTGGAGAAGTAACTTATTTAGCAATCATTAATAAAAACTACTAATCGTTTTTCAAACAGTGCTAGTATTTGGTTGTTTTAAATAAAATTTTAGTAGGTACTATGCTAATAAGAATCTTATAAGGATTGATTTGTGTAATGGAACTATTTCTTGTGACAATATTTAAACAAACTGTTTTGAAAACTTTATATTATATAACATTGTAATTTATTTTGGTTGTCCTAACTTTTACTAAAATAGGAAAAGCCCAAGAGGATTATTGAAATTTTTGTTTCTTATTGTATAGTTCTAATGAGTACATATTAGAAATTGTGTTACTTAGCAAGAAGGTAAACCAATTGATGTTTGCAAATTATTATACTTGTTACAGGTCTTGTCAGATAAATTCAGAGCAAGTGCGATTGCTACTGTTCAAAGAGTGTGATTGGAGAGGAAGGAAACTACTTTTTGACTCATCGACTATAGAAAAAGTACCAGTCAGCAAACATGATAAGCCTAAAGTACAACAAACAGATCACTTTCCATACACTGTGGAGATATCCGAGGGATACACATATTTGGTAAGTTTTATCAATACAAATTATTTTGAAACATAATTAGGGCTGCCATCCGTCCGGGTTTCCCCGGATTTGTCCTAGTTTACGGGGCTTCTGGGGAGCGTCCGGGCGGGGTTTTATTTGTAGTCCGGGTTTAAAAATTTACGGCAATGCAGGAGTGGCCCTTGGTGCTGCAAGTGTCCATGGGCAGCAGTGACCACTTATTATGAGGTCGCTAGCTATTTTGCCTAGATCAACATAAAAAAGTTGATTTGTGACATTTTTAACTGTTTTTTTATTGGTCTGTCCGGGTTCTGGGCTTCAAAATCCGGGGTTATCACACGTCTTATCCTGGTTGCTACATTTTAGAGATGGCAGCCCTAAACATAATAGATACTAATGCTGCATCAGAAGTCTTTAGCACCCACCAATCTGTGGTGGGTCATGGTGCAATCTTCCTAATCCATCCATAGGGAAGGTCTGTGGCCCAGCAGTGGGGACATTAATAGGCTGATGATATTTAAAATATTTTGGAATACAATCAGCCATTCATTCTACAGATTGGGCAGATTCATTGCTAATTTACGCTAACATTTAATAGAATTCACAACTTTGAATGTGAGACATCACAAAGTAGTGGTTAACTAACTAGACTAGGCTGACTACTGACTATTTGACCAAAAAACTGAAGAAACTATCTATCATCAATGTTGATCTATCTCAATTCTCATATCAATACATGTCATTTTTTATTTTAGTGCTCTTTAAACTTGGACTTTTTGTAGTAGAGAGAGAGATTTCATATATGCTTCTTTCATCAAATGTAAAGTGAAATGAGTCAAGTGTTGAAGGTGGCTGGTGTTATAAGATAAATGTAAGATATTGGCCTTTAATAGCCTGACCTGTTCACAAATATTTATTGTAATTTGATTATAATGAGATTGAAGTATGTATAATAATGGTGCATTGGTTAAAGTTGCTCACAACTCCTTGAACGAGGAAAATAAACTGTGATCAGGGAAATCAAATTGTAAGTTTTGGAAATAAATCCAAGTTCTAACTTTATTGTTACTCAGAGAGCACCAATCGCGAAATTTTTAATATTAACTCTTCACAAACACACACACTTCACACTTCTTCTGTTTCATCGATAGTTAAATTTCACTATAGTCAAAACCTATAGAAAAAATTAACCATTTGTCAAAAATTTACACATCTGGACACATTTACCATGTATTAGCGCGACTTTGTTTGCGTTATGATTAGTTTTTTGAGAATCCTACAACCTCACATTTTTCCAGTATAAAAGTATCCTATGACTTAAATCCAAGTCATAACCTATATGGGTACAAAATTTCATCCTCATCCGTTCTGTAGTTTTTGCGTCATTGAGCAATAAACATACAAACACATAAACAAACAAACAAGTTAACTTTAGTAAAATTTTACTATTGAGAAAACTACGCAACCTAAATAATATTTCACTAGATGAGACATTAGTAAATCACATAAAAATTAAGGTATATTACCCTAGCGTAACAATTTCATAAGTCCATATCCTAAGGTATATAGTATTTTGTTGCTAATTTGTGCCGCAAGAATTGATTTTGTTGCTCCAAGATTTCTCCGAAAAACGCCTGTTACGCTAGCGAGTTCACGAGATACGAAAAATCAGAGGTATTTAAGAATAAGGGTAGTTAGCCCCCCATGAAGGGATTTTTTCATATCTAACCAGCTTATCTTACATCAACAAAATATGCCGTTCATCTGATATCTCTAACTGCTTTTGCCTCCGAGATATCGCTGTGGTTTCGCTAGCGTAATATTAGCGTAACAGGCGTTTTTCGGAGAAATCTTGGAGCAACAAAATCAATTCTTGCGGCACAAAATAGCAACAAATTAGCAACAAAATACTATATACCTTAGCATATGGACTTATGAAATTGTTACGCTCCTTAAAAATTATAAAGGCCGAGTCTGTGTAATTATTTCAAGTTAATAACACTGTATCAATGTCAGTCCATAATTTAATATCAAGTTAGATAATTACTTTAAATGACTTGCTTTTCATTACTCTAAATTACTTGGGTTGTAGTTTCAGAGAAAAAGCTTGCGCTAGGGCCTTTTTAACGTAATGGATGCTTATCAGAAATTTACTTTATTATTTCACACAATAATACGCCCCGGTAATACCTATCGATTAGATAGTCATCGATCCACATCAAACATACGTTATGAAATCCTTGAACTCCCACGCCACGCTACTTAGTAACTCGTAAGGTATCACAAGCATACAATATGAGTTTTGGTTACATTGATATTTTAATTCTGAAATTAATAACAAATGGTAGCTTAAAGCTTAGTATCTGTTATGCCTTTCTGGAGATAGAATAGCAAATGGCTGTCAATACACAAACATTTAAACAGGCAACTGAAAACGTACTAGGTAATCTAATCTGGCATTCTTTTCATTTCATGTCTACAGTGTGGAACTTTCAATTTACTTTACATGAGATTTCAAATAATAATATGCTGCAATATTGCATCTAATTTGAATAGAAAGTTTGACTGTGTCTCTGATTCGTATGTCACTATTGAATGCGTTATGTATTCTAAGTCGCGTCCTTGTAACGACACACACGGAGGTAAGTTATTCCAAGATTTAGGTGTAGCTTATACCAAAACCTCTAAATATTTAAAATAATCAAATTGAACTAAGCCGAAATGAAAGTCCATCTTTTATCATTCGCATGTGTTAACGTAGGTACGAATAGATTCAGAAGCTTTAGAAGGAGATGGGCTGATAAAGTATTAATGTAGTTTTTTGCCTAATGTGGCGACATTAAACCGTGACGTGGTTGACTCCACAGGACACAGAAAGACGTTAGAAGGGCCTTGTGGACGGGGCAAGCGCGCCACAGTTATGTGTGAGCAAATAATCATATCTTGACCAAAACTTGGTTCTGATTGCGTCTTTGCTCTCGGGTGTGAGCGCTGATTGGTTCGATTGTTTGATGTCAGGCCGTTTGATTGGCTATTGCCTATTAGGTGGAAGTGTAGTGGGGTCGAGCCGGCGACATCGGTTCCCGTACAAACGGTCCCTGATCACTCTTCTAACCTCTTTCTGTGTTCTGTGGTTAACTCATTGTCAACTCTAGCCCTTCAATCGCTTTTATTCATCATTATCAACCCTTTTTCAATGTTTCCACTGCTAGAGCACGGGTCTTCCCTATGGATGGAATTGGGAGTGTTTTTTATATATAGCTAGGTAGGCAAATTACTCTACCCACCTGATGTTAAGTGTTGATAAAGTCCAGACGAAGATAGCTGGTACAGCAGTTATAAACTGAAACACCAACCATCCTCACTTTGCCGGCCGGCAGAAATGCTTCTTTACGCTTTACTTAAAGGACCCCAGATTGTAGGAAGGCGAGAACACGTGCGCGGGCAAAGAATTCCACTTGCGAATAGTACGACAAAGAGTACGAGTCTCCAAATGGACTTTTATCTACCAAGCGGGCGCAGTGCGGATTGGTGTATTATGCTAACGACGAAAACGGGACCAAGGATTTCCGAAGCATGGAGGAGCTAGAGATATTAAGGTTTTGGTCACTCATCCAATGATCGCAGTCGCAGATCAAACGCGCTAGCCACCTGTGCCATCGAGCTCCTCTTCAATCGCTTTATTCCTCACAAAATCCGCGAGCCTCTTAAAAAACATAATAAATAAATATCTGTAACACACACCAATTACCCTAGCCCCAAAATAAGCACTAACAGATAGAATACATACTGATACATATTATATAAAGTACCTATATTTTTATTTACAAAAATACATAAAAACATGATTAATGAATATTTCTTAAAAATATGTGACTTAGGCACAAATGCTCTCGAATTGATCACACAAACATTTGCCCCACCGGGAATCGAACTCAGGGACCTCTGAGTAGGCGTTACCTTGAAAACCGACGTACTCGAGTGGTACTGACCATTCGAGCCACGGAGGTCGTCATAATAAAGTTTGATCTTGGGAAGAGAACCTTTTTTGGTTTTTGAAACCGCTTTAAATGAGTGTCCATTTTCGTCGTCTCACATCCCATTTTTTTTTATTGCTATGGTGTGATAACAAAATCCTAATGATCGTACGACGCGACACGCTGACAATATTTATATTTAGACACGCTTCAGACATCTTTGACGAAAACGGTACCTGTGATAAAGTTTCTCTATAGTCTCGTGATAGTTATCAATACGCGTGTATGGTAATTTCACCCATATCTTTATTAGTTAAGTACCATTTCGTATTTCGCAACAATATTTCTTAAAATATGGAATTGCGGATGAATTATTCTTAGAATTTTAGAAACTACGGATTTGGTTAAACTGAAATATAATTAAGTACTTAGATTGTTTTACTCGTGTACTTGTTGAGTCGAACAGCTGTTGTGATGTAAAAATCATCAAAATGAAATAAATTTGTGGTTAGTAAGTAAAAGTATCATCTGGCTTTATCTATATCCTTACACAGACTTTCGTTTGAGTCCCTTGGTCCAATTTGTTAAGAAGTAACTGAAAATAATAAGCAAAGAACTTTACTTTTAATAGAAATAGTTTGAAACCAATACATTATTGTTGTTGTCCTCAATTCAAACTAAATTATATATGTATGTATATGCGAAGTCGCTGATGCTGTTAGTAAATTGTATGTCAATTAATATATTTCAAATAAATAATAGCTAAGAGTATCGCCAAAAATTGCTTAATAGTAAATTTGTGGCATTGCATGTATTTGATCTCACAGTAGATATTACCTAATAGCTACTCTCAAATTAACAGCATTTTTATTAATGATTCAAAGAAGTACACTCGATGCTTAATATTTTCAAGAATGGCCTCTATTATTTCCTTTTTATTTTAGAATTTTGTGTACTTAAATCATGAATAACCACTGAAGTATGAATAAAGCTATGATGAAAGTAGGTGGTCCTTACCTACTTTCATCATAGCTTTATTCATACTATTTGAATTTTTAGCATTTATTTAGCTGTAACATTTTACACTTTAGTAACAATAATAATAATGTACAATACACATGTAGAAGAATATTCAGATTATTGACACGATGTTATAAACCACTGGCATAGATAAATATATCTAAAATTATCAAGAAGTAAAAAACAAAGTGAACCGTGATAAGTATTATCTCTTAATTTCTTAGTGTATTATTGGTCACAATATTTGGGAATACCTGAGACCGACATACACTTAACCAATCTGTGATCTGTAAAGTAACTACAAGCAAAAGATATACCTAACAGGACTCCAAGCATCAACAACTAGCGAGAAAGTATTCGTATCAATATGTAAATGCTTCGTTTCCATAGAAACTTTGATGTTGGCGATACGAATACGGATCTGTCAATGTTTCTATGGAAAATAAGCAGCGCCCTCTCGCCCTAAATACCGGACGTAAGAACAAACTAGTTTTTTTTCCATTGAAACTTTGGCACTTGCTAGTTGTTCGTGCTTGGGGTACAGATCTTAAATTATTTGGAAGCATTAACGATTGTCTTGTAACTAAACCAAGATATGCCTATTCCTTGCTTAAGACATGGGAATGGGCGTATAAGTTTTCTAAATATACTCTGTCATAACTCTTAAGACCAGCAAATACATGAATACAAACAATACTACATATGCGCAGGATTCATTAGAAAAGCTACCGAGAGCAAATCGCCAATGTTGGCGCCATCGTTGGGGCAAATGCTCATTTACGAATAAGGCCTGCTCTACACGTTGGCCAACATTGTGGCGAATATTCTGGCAAAGATATTAGCCAAGAGTTTGTGAAGACGTCCTCACGTTGGAAGGTCCAATGTGCGGAGGATTTTTTAAAATCGGATATGAGACGCTAACGGCTGCTGCGATTTATTTGTTCACAGCATATCCCTATTATAGTTAGTATATTACTAGACAATATAGTTACGACGCGACGACGCTTGAATATAAAATTTGAATCAGGCGTGCATGCGACCACTCTGGGAGCTCGAAGCAAACTAAACGCTTGCCCAACGTGTGGACGCGACGTCCATAACTCCGCCACAACTCTTTGATCTTTTCATAAAAACCGACACCACACGAATCTTATGCTGACTTGTGGGCCATCATTCCAATACTTATAAGTATACTAAGATAAACACAATCCTCTGCACTACACGATGACCATAGGTAATCGCCATAACCATTCGCCACAATGTTTGCCAACATTGTAGTACGTGTAGAGCAGGCATAAATATGTGGGACAGACAGACGTATAGATTAAGCACTCGCTTAATACTAGAAATAAAAATAAATTAGCTGTACCAATTACAAGGCTTCACAAAATCAATAATTCATTTAAAGGTCTTTCTGTACGCTTCTACAATAAAGTCCCTAGCGATATCCAAACATTATGCGTCAATAAATTTAAAACTACCATTAAAAGAGTTCTTATATCTTAGGCAGGCTTTATTAAGCCTATCTGATTATATTTCAGATAAAAATACCTGGGTTTAAACTGTTCCAAACGTTCCGGCAGTTATTTTTTCTATAATTATGATGAAGATGAAATTATTTCGTATTGACACCGTAACAATATATTTTGTAAATATTGTTACATAATTATTTAATGCTGTGAAGTTTATTTCGCCAGTTTTTCTCCGCAGCTAAAAATAAATGTCCTTAACTGGTAGAAGGGAGAAAAATATGGACGATTCAAAAGAGTTGTATTTTGCATCCATTTTGAATAAAGATATTTTAACTTTCGATTTTGGGCTAAATTTGGTCCCAACATTTGGAGCTGGGGTTTAGACTAATACTAGGTCCGATTCCATTTTCCAGCGCTTGAAAAGTACGTATGTCTGTTGTACGCAAACAACAGTTTTAAAAATATTCTTTCAATTGACACGTCGCTGCTCGGTCACAAGACTGGACACTTACTGATCTAAATTTAGATTATTCGAGTTAGCCTTTTTGATCAAACCAGTAAGTAAATAAATGGGACCAATGAACGACTAACTTTAGCTGGTGTTTAATTAACGACCATCACATGATTTATTGACGCGTTGTTGTAAATTTAGAAGTATACTTTTTTAAGTACATCTTTTCACTTATGTTATATCATAGTGCAAATTGACATGTTTTGAAGTCTCATTAATTTTGTTATGATTGTTTTTACCATATTGGATACTTGCGATGTTCATTTTGAGTAAGTTTGGCAATGGCACCTATATCTAGCTACAATGTTTGATTTCGTTTTATCATCGTGCTAAAAACTGTCTATAAACATTATATTTTCAGATGTAGTACAAAGTTCAATATAACTTGTTTAAACACGTGTGCAAATTTCCGGCTATGAGCAATTACTACTAATACTGCAACTTGGTATACTAATGCATAAGCCGCGAAGACTACTACACTCACGAATTTTCGTTTTAGATCGTGAAAAGTGTAATTTTATGGCATTCGAAAGAAGGTGGTACTACCCACGGAACACAGAAGATTAGATAGGTGATCATAGACCGTTAGTACGGAAACTGATTTCGCCGGCTCGCCCCTACTACACTTCCATCTAATAAATAATAGCCGATCAAACAATCGACCCAATCAGCGCTCACAGCCGAGAGCAACGACACAATCAGAACCAAGTTTTGTTCAAGTTATGAGCATTTGCTCACACATAACTGTGGCACGCCTGCCCCGCTCAGAAGGCCCTTCTAACCTCTTTGTGTTCTGTTGTTACACCCAAAGATGCAATTGGCATATAAAGAATACCGTTCAGCTACGAAACAATGCCACCAGTTAGAGACTAGATAATATGTTGGTGTTAGCACTTTTGCATTGTCCATGTACCCTAAAAGTCTATCAGATTTTTTAAAATATTTTTATTGTCTTTCTTTTGTACTTTATCCTTTTGACTGTACATTGTTCTTTCTTCTATACAGTACAGCACATATAAAGTAAAGAATACTGGATTGGAGATTTCTAATATCGAGATCGAAAATTACTTTCCTCCGTTCGTTTCGTCCAACTAGTTTTCGTTATTTCCTTCTCTCATTGAAGGGCTGGCATACTAGAGGTAACGTGTTCTTGCGTATTTTTATCATTATTTTGTCCCGTGGTGGTCAAATTTCGATGCTCCCAGGATTATGAATAAAACTTTCTGAAATAACAACTTTCTGAGATCAACATTATCATTCCTGATGCTCAACTGACTCCAATAAAATCAGGTCATTAATTTGATTTATTTCAGTGTAATCTCGTTCAAATACATAATATTTATCAACGGAGTAATGTAGATTGGACTCGAAATAATAATCGTGTGCCGTAAAGAACTTACGTAGTTAAAAATCAAGTTGCTGGAACCGGCCTCAAAAGTATTTTTTTCTTCGAATTACGTAATACTTATATTCTGAAGTTTTGACTTCAGAATATAAGTACTTTGGTACTTATATGAATATTTTTAATAGTGTTTTTTACAATGCTCCATAGAGGAAATGAGTTATCCGCTTGTAATAGATTTGTATCATTTAATCGCTTGTGAGGAACCGTTGCTATTGCTACGGTTCGCTGTGTCGGTCGGTATTCATACTTATCCATATCACGCACGCTTCCTATTTAGTCACAAGTCACGTGAATAATGAAATAGCTAGTCTGCACTATAAAGACGCACATGATCGCGTTGAATAAGTGTTATTTATGGACAAATCCTATTCGATCTCTCTCTTCATTAGGCTATGATGGCAATTCGAAGTAGATATCTTGATAGTTGTATAGATTTTCTTTTGCAAAGTTTGGGGGTATTGATGACAAAAGTTATTGTCGGACAATATTTTTTATTGTATGTCTAAACTAAATTAATTAATTTTGAGATTAAGTTTTACTTTACGAGTTAACTATTTCATTTATTTTAATTATTTTTAAGTATTTTATTGCTACAGCCGTCTGCCCGGATAGCGGAAGATGCTGTTTCCAATCTCGTCTGAATCCCGGACCGAGTTGAATTTTCTCAAGTAAAATTTTCTTTAATTGTTTCTTTTCTTTGGTCCAGTACAAGGGACCAGCGGCAGATGCGAGCGTTCTCGGTGAGATGATATTCGGTGCGGTCGCCATCAACTACAGAAATGTTTCACTCAAAATCCATATAATGGACAAGCCTCGGAGGTACGTTGCCTAGTTTTAATACAAAAAAATATACATAATTAGTAAAAAAGTGACATTGCCTATATTGGACTGGTATCAGGGACCACTGAAGGAATAACTTACACTGCGCCCAACTGCTCAGTTACTATGTAAATAGTAAAAGTAGACATTGATAAAATTGGAGACTGTTTTAGTTGAGGGGTTCATAAGGTATTGTTTTCGGACATTATATTAGATTCAATTATAGCCAAGACAGTGGAGTCATGGTTTGGCTAAAGATATAGTATATTTTGATTACAACAATTTTTTACTCTTCTGTTTCTTTGAAAGTCTGCCAACCCCGTCGTCGCCATTAACTTGTACCAATTTTCAAACATTTACAAAAACAGCAAATGTTCTTTATTTTTACAAAATTTAGGGGTTAATTTAACATAAGAATTAAAGTAAAAATCCACCTGGATCTGGAAGACTAGATTTTGTAAACATAGATTGGATATTTTTTTATTGCGAAAATTCATTTGATCCCTATACTCTTTTCATTGGTATAGCTATATACACTCGACAAACAAACCGGGTCACATGTTTTCTTTTCAATGTAAAACTTACAAATATCAAAGCTATATCTACTGAAATTGTGTTTCATGATGTTAAAATGACAAAAAATATATTTTTCATAAGTACTGTTTGTTTCATAAGTAATCAAGCAAGAAACACAATGCTAAGGATTTGCTAATTTTTGAATAAAGTTGCGATTATCGTCCTTCTTAGGAAAGTTCTTAATAAAAACTTTGTAAATTGATTAATCTCAATAGTTTTCTGTAAATTTTAATCTACATAAAACGCACGCTCTGTAGGTATAACTATGATAGTTGTAAGTTTTATACTTTTTGAGAAAATCAAATCCGAGTTCTGAGCTAGCAAGGGACCCGCTTTATTTGCTGTCTAGTGTATAAAGTGATAAAGAGACCTACCTATTAGTTATTCTTTTGTTTAGGTTGATGTGCACAAAAGTTTTCTGTGTGCCGACATCGCGTAAGATCAGTCGCGTGGAAAGGAAGAACAGCGAGGTGAACAGCCGGAGCAGCGGCAACCTGAGAGATGTCTCCACTCCGTTGAGTGTGCCCTCGCTCAGGGAGGAAGGAGTGTCGTTGAGCTTCTCATTGAATAGGGGAGATTCTGGTAAGTCCCGTAAGCGGGAGCAATTCATTTCATAGCGCTACGTCCACTTGGATCCATTGCAATGCCATTTAAGGTGTAAAACTGTGAAGTATCCAAGTGCACCTTGAAGTTTCTTTAAATCCATTATTTGAAATTGACAGGTATGATGGACTCAGGTGGATTTTAACCCACAGAACACAGAAAAAGGTTAGAAGGACCTTGTGCGCGGGGTAGGTAGTGAGCAAATGCTCATAGCTTGACCAAATCTTGGTTCCGATTGCGTCGTTGCTCTCGGGTGTGAGCGCTGATTGGTTCGATTGTTTGATTTCGCGTTGTTTGATTTCGCGTTGTTTGATTGGCTAATATCTATTGGCTGTTAGGTGGAAATGTAGTGGGGATGAGCCGACGACATCGGTTCCCGTACAAACGGTTTATCATCACACTTCTAACCTCTTTCTTTGTTCTGTGGTTTAACCCGTTACATGTTATATTAACTGATTTTATTTTTTATTCCGAAACAATTATATTGGAAAGCTTAATTTTGTATAGTGTCTTGATTAACGTATTAGATTTCTATGATCAAAATAATTATTTTGTTTAGGTTATTGCGGAGATATCTCACCATACAGCAGCGTCGGGTCAACACACGACTACTTTTCCATGTTTGATATATGGGATGGGAAAAAATCGCAAGATGATGTCTATTCTTTTCATTGTAAGTCAAACTTTATGTAGTTAAGATTTTTTGTAATATATTTATTATTTAGTTACGTAAAGATAAATTGATATCAAATGCATCCTCCATGTAAACAAACTGGCACACGCTCTGAGTGGAGAAGACGCTCTCCATCTTACCCGCTAAAAAGAAGTGACATACCGAGCCTACATAGAATTACCACTTGACATCAAGAGAGTCGTGTGAAAAGTATTCCCACAGAAGTATGGCTCTTGAGGAAAACATAAACTGAGAAATCAAACAAAGAAGTGGCTTGTTGTTGAAAAACAGAAAGCCATGAAGCAGACACCATAAAAAAATCAAATGCATCCAATTGCAATAAACACGTATCCAATACTTTCATATTATTAACTAAGAGGTATATTTATTGTCATATTGTTTGACTGATGACTCTTATCGTGTTACTGTGGTAGTAAATCAGATTAAAGAATCAGAATTTATTTGTTGTTTTAAGTAACCCTCTTTTTGTAAACTAATCAAATCAAATAATTTATAGAGGAATTATTCTTTGAAAAAAAAATACTTGTTTCAATTTAGCACCACCCGGCCGCAAGCTTAGCACATCAAGCAATGGCAGTTGGCAACGTAGAACGTTCCAGAACATGACCACCAGGTTTGACTTTGGGCAGAGTTCTAATTTGCTCAACGTCCCAACTGCTGCAAGCAATAAGGATTCGCAAGTAAGTGAAAATATTAGTAAATTAACTAAATTTATTTCCACCAACAACGATCAGACCATACGTACATAAAATATTAAATTGCTTAATAAAAGCAATTATCATCATAATAATAACAATAAAATAAAAAGAATTCCAATGCAATACATTCACAATAATGTAGCATTCGTCAGATTCGACTCTAAAGTTTAAAACCAATTCTATTTAAAAAAAAATTAAACCATTTGTAATGGCAAGTATCATAAGCTTCATTAGTAACAGCTATGACTTAATTCTTTAATCAGCCACTTTAATCCTGTTTCTTATTAAGCACCGAGATTATAATTATTTTAATTACAGTAATTTGTTTGCGCGCTCATTATCAGTGTCATTAGGGTGAATATAGCCGCGTGACAAACGTCACACCAGTGACCGCAGCAGCTATCAGCCAGTCATGTGATCTAATATCAAGGCACCGACAGTTAGATTGTGCCCGTGATTACACACTGATTATGTTCGCCAACATAATAAGATACATAATAGAGACATGATACTAATCCCTAATGCGTTATCGGAAACTCCACAGATTATAATATGGACCTTTTTTTATTTAAAACTTCTTTAGACGACTTGTGCACTTTTGGGCGAGGGTGAAAGTTTTTTTTTATATTATGATATATTGATTAAACTATTTTTTTGAAATTTATGAAAAAATCTTTGGATTTTTGTAAATACGTACATTTTATTACATATTATATTAAATACATTTTGAATTTCACTGCTGACGTCCAGTACTACGATCGCGAGCTTTGATTAAAAAATTAACTATTTTGTAGCCTACACGACGATTAATGATTATGAAGTAAAGTATACTCGATATATTGTTTTAAACTTTCATGGTCACTTACATTGTTGCTGTTACCGGTTTTGCTATCGTGTATACAAGGTATCTTGTTTTTTTGTGAGTTTCCAATATTTTGGCACTGCTACAAGTGCCATGACCACCGGAACACAAAGTACAATGTACCTTGTGTACGTGGTAGCAATCCCGTCAATAGCTATAATAAAGTATCATCACCACCATCAGCCTATTAATGTCCCCACTGCTAGGGCATAGGCCTTCACTATGGATGGAATAGGAAGATTAGTTCATGACCCACCACGCGGGCCCAGTGCGGATTGGCGGGTGCTAACGACTACAGACGCAACCGGGACCAACGGCTTAACGTGCCTTCCGAAGTACGGAGGAACTCAAGATAGAAGATTCTTTGTCACCCATCCAATGACCGACCACTGCGGAAGTTGCTTAATTTAAACGATCGCAGTCGAACGCGCTAACCACCTGCGCCATCGAGCTTCTCCTAATATAGTATACTCGGTGTCATTTTTAAGCAAAAAAATACATACACTGACTTATATGGCAGCTGGTACTAGCTACCAGCTACGCAGCTAGCTGCGTATCGGCTGTTTAAGGAAAAACTCTTGTAAGTGTTTGTGAAACTCGTCAGAGGTGTAATTAATTATACTTTTTGTATTATTTTAATAGTCCTTACAAAACAAAAAGTTTTCCCCAAATATGTTTTCCAGTAGATTTTTCCGTATTAGGTAGGTATTCTTTTTTAAATATTGATCATTGAAAAAAATTAGGTATCATAAAAAAATAAAATTCGTGTGGTAATTCTTAAAAATGTTTTAGTATGTAATAGTAAAAGCTTTTATCGGCGTGCCATAAATTAAACTATCCTTGTCTAAAACCTTTTCAAATAGAAAACCGTTAAGGTATTATTTTCATAACACTTTGTCATACTTTTATTGCAATTGCTACATTTTGTTAAGTGTATTTACCTTTATAATTTTCCGTTGTTCACAGTAATTACAGAAAACAACAACAGTTTTCTTGTTTACCTCGCTAAGTGGGTAAAATATTAATAGTGTTGTTGCGCTTGTTTTATCAAGTGTAGATCATCAACAGTCACGAGATTTATTTCAAACAAAAGCTTTAACTATTTATATTGAAACTAGCGGCCGCCCGCGACTTCGTCTGTGTTAACTTTTTTTTTCTAAAATAAAAGACTAAAATAAAAGTAGCCCCTAAGTTACTCCTTATTACATCAACTACCTGCCAATAAAAGTCCCGTCAAAATCGGTTCAGCCATTTCAGAGATTAGCCGGAACAAAGAGACAGACAAAAATTGTAAAAAATATTATTTTGGTGTATGTACCGTTTATATATTCATATGCATGTAGTAAAAAGCGGTTATTTCAATATTACAAACAGACACTCCAATTTTATTTAAGTGTCGTTCTCGTAATTGTTGTGAAGGCAAAGTATTGAACTGCTACCTTCCATGTGCAGATAGTAAAGATAAATTATCAGATAGTTTATTTTAATTAATTAATTTATTTTTAAAGTGAATATACATCTAAAATTTACGCTTCATATATGTATTACCGTTACCGAGCAAAAAACGACAAAAAACATGTTTGCTGTATGGGAGCCTCTCCTTAATATTTATTTTATTCTATTCTTAGTATTTGTTGTTATAGCGGCAACAGAAATACATCATCAATAAAAAAAATACTTTCTACCTATTACTTTTCATGAGATACAGCTGACAGGTGACAGACAAACAGACGGACAGTGAAGTCCTAGTAATAGGGTCCTGTACTGTCAGTACCCTTTGGATAGGGAACCCTAAAAAAGATGGTTGAAATCGATAAAATCGTTCTCAAGTTATGACGTGCCGCGTGACCAAAGGAAGTAGGGGTTTGTTTTTATATACAGCTGTATTAGCTGTCACAGCGAATTTCGTACCGCCATAAAAAAATAGGGGTTGGTGGTAGAAGGGTGAAAATTAAGTGTTGTATGTATTTTTGTATAATGCATCATAAAAAAAAGAAAAACAAAAAATTTTGCCAAAAAAGAAATTTAAGGGTATGACCACCAGCCTTAAATTAAAATGATGAAAAATAGATGTTGTCCGATTCTCAGACCTACTGAATATGCATATAAAAAAAAATTCACGAAAATCGGTCGAGCCGTTTCGGAGTAGTTCAATTACGCACACCGTGACACGAGAAATGTATGTATTAGATGAATGGAAGTAGTTCAAATAGCAACATTTGCTAACAGCATATCATGTGTTAGTGTTAATCCACAGGTGTCCAGCGGGAGTTCCACCAGCGGTACCACGGATAGTTTGCTGAGCACAACTTCGGTGCCCCAGAAGAAGAACAAGCTGGGTCTCGCGCTTCTGTTTACGGTCAGCGATAACATTGAGATGTAAGTTTCAATCACTATGATATAGCACAAAGACCTAACACAAACGAGATGGTAGTGTAAATAACCATCTAAAACCCATCATAAACTACAGTTTTTCTGATCACAATCAACGTTCTAATCTTTTCATCATCTACGACACGAATTTCAGACCTATTTATGATCGTAGTCTGTGAAATAATCTTTATTACTAAGCTCATAAGGTTGAACTTTTCTGCTTATAAAATCCACAAACCTTATTTCTTTGAGGACCTATTGCACCAAAGTTCTTAATTCAAATTAGGCTTAATCGTGTTTAAGGGTACGGCCAGAGTGTACTCAGATTCAGATTCCGAAAACAAGCGCGAGAAATAAACAGTGTAGTAGACTACAGGTTGCCTGCTTTTTCTCGCGCTTGTTTTCTGATTCTGAATCTGAATCTGAATCAGGAGTGCACTCTGGCCGTACCCTTCGACTACACTGTTTATTTCTCGCGCTTGTTTTCTGATTCTGAATCTGAATCTGAATCTGAGTGCACTCTGGCCGTACCCTAAGACATCATTCCATCTTTCAAATAGAAATAGAATGTGGCATAACACGCCATTAGCTTTTAGATTTGAATTAGGAACTTTAAATCTAAAGAAAACTTTCCTAGAAAAAATTCCGTGCGGACCAGGCAGCAGACGGGACTTTAGTGCAAGCGGGTCTGACTGAAGTATGTTACACTTCTTCTAGGTCAGCAGGGTAATATGTTTATATATTTTAATTTCAATTAGGATGTTTATAACTTATTATTACAGCAGGCGCTAGGTATGTATATATATTATTTTCGTCAAAGTACTACTTTGAACTTCTTCTTTTTCTGGTGCCTCTCCGTTACCGGAGGTTGGCCGTTAACTTTGTGTACTCCTCTCGGTTCTGCGCCAAACGGAAGAGCTCCCCTGCATTGGCGATCCCGGTCCACTCTCGGATGTTTCGGAGCCATGACTTTTAACGCCTTCCAACGCGTCGTTTCCCTTCAATTTTGCCCATCATTATCAATTGCAATAAGTCGTATCGTTCGTGTCTCAGCACATGACCCAGGTATGCAAATTTACGACGTTTGATCACCTGTAGCAGTTGTCGAGCTTTACCGACGCGTTGTAATACTATCTCGTTCGAGATCTTGTGCGTCCAAGATATTCGGAGCATACGTCTATAACACCACATCTCGAAAGCTTCAAGGCGTTTCTTGGTGTCCTCTTTGATGGTCCATGCTTCGCATCCATATAATACCAAAGGCCAAACGTAACACAGAAGGATTCGAACTCTAAGTCTGATGTTAATACTCCGACAACATAAAACCTTTTTCATTTTGCTGAAGGATGCTCGAGCGATTTCTATCCGGCATTTTATTTCTTGATCGGAATGCCATTCTTCATTGACCCAAGCACCAAGGTATTAATATTGTCGGACCCGCTCTAAGGTCTTATTTCCGATACTGATGTTGGCGACTGGATTTGACCTAGACACAACCATGAACTTAGATTTCTTGATGTTCATTGAAAGTCCAGCACGCTCACTGTGATCTTTGACTTTGTCGACAATCACTTGCAAGTCGTTTTCGGAGGAAGCTATAAGGACAGTGTCATCAGCGTAACGTAGATAATTGATGATCTTTCCATTGACCTTTACACCAAAATCCAGGTTTTCCAGCGCTGCGGACATGATCTTGAACATAAAACTATTTTATTTCGCGAAATTGCGATTGCTCTTTTAAAATCCTGTCAAACATAACAAAATATAGTGCTATAATATATAATAGGAGTATACTTCTGGACATCCCTACACAAAACACTATTGTTGCCAATGACAGTATTGATCCATCTTATTTAAAGCAGTGCTAACTAATGACTAACCCATTTAAATGATCATGATTTATATATTTTTAACTTTACCATTTGTAGGTATTAGCTTCTGCTAATATAATAATGAACCCAAACAACAATGAAAGTTATTTTAAGACGTCCTCTACGTAGAAAAATGACGTTTGAGTTTCAAGGAAGTGTATAAAAATAGATTTTACTAATTTAAGAGTTGTATGTTATTATGTTAATTTTTCTTATGTGAGTTAAGTTATGTATCCTTGATTTCTAAGTCAATGCACCAGGGTTTGCAGCAATTTTATATCTGATATTCACACAAGTATTTTTATATATTGTAATTCTAACATGTTAAACGGTCAACTGACATTCTCTTTGGTTGCAAGAAGACTCTTCTGTTCGCCTCGATAAACTTTCAGGAAACCAATCCAAAAATAAAAACTTCCTAATCATACCTGTTTACCTCACCACTAATGGTAAATGTTTGTTCCAAAAAAATCTCTGTAATTTTCACATAGTGATGCATGATTTGCTAAATATACCGGATTTAGGTATACATATATTATAACGTTAAGTTAAAATAAGATCACGAGTTGAATGTGCTTAGCCATACTAACCTCAAATAGACTTTCCATGTGCATGTTTGCCTTTTTTTTATGACACAATAACTGATAACAGACAGCTGTTTTCACTGAGCTTAGTTTAGTGCGTCTTATTTTTTTTGGTTAAAAATACAAACTAAATTTTGTTTAAGTGCATATACGTTGTGAACGTTCGTATTTGACGGGAAATTTCTAGGAGGAATTTATTGTGCATTTACGTTCGCCCTCGAGAAGTTAATTAACTTTTAAGTTTGACTCAAGTTGATTATGTCACTTTTTTGCGATAACAATAAAATGAGACAACACTTGACGAACCGGTAAGTTAAGTAGATGGGTGGAGTATTCGCCGCAGTTGAGAATGTAAGTCTGTAGGCTGTGGTTTGCCACTCTCACGCACTTCACGCCTGTTTGAAAAGTGCTAATAAATGAATTGATTATAATATTACTACGTTGTTACTTTAGGGACGTGGTTCGTAGATGTGTGGAGCAGTCACCGCAGCTGCAGGCGAAGGTCTGTAGGCTGTAGTTGGCCACTCTGACGCACTTCACTCTAGTTTAAAAAGTGCTAATAAATGAGTTGATTATAATATAACTACGTTGTTACTTTAGGGACGTGGTTCGTAGATGTGTGAATTATTCACCGCAGCTGCAGCGATGGTCTGTAGGCTGTGGTTGGCCACTCTGACGCACTTCACGCCTGTTTAAAAAGTGCTAATAAATGAATTGATTATAATATTACCACGTTGTTACTTTAGGGACGTGGTTCGTAGATGTGTGGAGCATTCACCGCAGCTGCAGGCGATGGTCTGTAGGCTGTAGTTGGCCACTCTGAAGCACTTCACGCCTGTTTAAAAAGTGCTAGTTAATGAATTGATTATAATATTACTACGTTGTTTCTTTAGGGACGTGGTTCGTAGATGTGTGGAGCATTCGCCGCAACTGCAGGCGTTAGTCTGTAGGCTACGGTTGGCAACCCTGAACGCTGGCAGCGGCAATGGGTTCGTCTCTACGTTGTATAGGGCTGCTTCGGACGCTGCTAAATGGTAAGTCTTATTATGTAATAAGATGCCTCCAATTTTTGTATTTACAGAAGCTATTCGCCAAACGAGTTGGTAGCAGAATAGGTATCATCAAATCAGCCTAATAATGTCCCCACTGCTGGGGCACAGGTCTTCCCTATGGATGGAATAGGGAGATTGGGCCATGACGCACCACGCGGGCCCAGTGCGAATTGGCGTGTGCTAACGACTGCAGATGCAGCCGGGATCAACGGCTTAAAGTGCCTTCCGAAGCACGGAGGAACTCGAGATGGAAGATTTTTGGGCACCCAACCAATGACCGACCACTGCGAAAGTTGCCTAACTTCAACGATCGCATCCGAGCGCGCTCACCACTTGCGCCATCAAGCTCCTCTACAGAATAGGTATAGGTAGCGACAAACTTCTTGAGCAGCGATCATAGACAAGGAAGCCTGCGCAGTAGCACTTTTACATACAAAACTGTCTACTGCGCAGGTTTATTTGTCAAGAAGTTTGCCGGGTTGTATACTCTTGAAAATACCTTACCCTTTTTCATATAACGACGAACTATGGATAAGATCTGTGTTCCACAGATTACTTAGGTAGGTATATATTTGCGTGTTACAAAGTAGGTACATAACCTACTTTGTTGGAAGAAGAGAAAACTTTAGCGCCGGCACTCACTGACGGCTGACTGATATTCATGCTACATCAACAATGTGACAATAAGATTTAAATTAATTTAATGGGAAAGAAAAGTTTTTTTTTTCAGTTTAAGTTTACTGTAGTGCAAGACAGATCCTTCAGAGAAAACCTTTGCATGTGTAGACGATTCCTTTTATCACTGACACCAAGCAAATTTGTTAATTGTTGTATGAACAGCGATATAGAGATAGTTTTACTCACGCCTGAACGTACGTATGGTCTGTTTGTTTAAGAGAATCTTATTTGTAATTCTGTAAAGTGGACTATACATTATGGAATATCACAAAAATCCACTAAACGGTACTCATTTATTTGTCCACACACCAAAGTAAGTCACACAGATACACATCTACGAGACAAGTTAAAATAATAAGTAAAATAAGATTATTTTAATGAAATACACTTACGATCACATTCAAAGTAACAAATTTAATTTAATTCTGGACAAAGTGACGTTTCTGTTGCTTCCTCCAAACGGCATGAACTTTAATAAAACCAAACATTATTGACATCTCTGAGGGCCATTTTTAAATATTTGAGTATGTACATGCTTGTGTCATATGCGGCCTTGTAGTATAGATTGTGCAATTAATGTTTTCAATTAACTTATCAGCTTTATGGTCGTTTGCACCAAACTTAGGAGTTTCCTAAATTCATTCTTAAATAATTAGCTGACTCTTTAATGTTAAATTGTTTGCACCAAACTGTAAGACCATCCTAACTCCCTAAGTGAATCTCTTCGCGGGCTATTCGTGATTCCGATTAATTTGTAAAGTTGACAACTGTCACTTCTTTTTATTCCATTAATAGTATGACAAGGACAACCTGCTGTCAAAATGACAAATAGCAAATACGAATAGCCATGTGAAGTGCTAGCATAAGAAATGTCTTAAATATTTCCTCAAAAAAAAAACAATTTTATGTTCTTGTATTTTATAGAAAGCTGCTTTTAAAATAATTCCTTAATTATTCTAAACGTTTCGAATATTTTACAGACTCCATAACGTCAGGCTAAGTATTGCGACCATTAATGTAAAATTGAATGAATCGCGCTTTATACCTCTTCAAAAAGTGTTTTATCAAATGATACTCTAAGACATTAACAAAAAAAGTCTTGTCCCACTAGGGGTACATGTTGGTAGGACCACGGTTAATGGCCCTTTCCTCTTACAATCCGCTTTCTACAGTAGCAGCGTTGCATAATACAGTTACATTGTTCGATTGTTAATATTGTCATTGTGATGCGGAGTTCCCCAGTAGAATGGCCGCTTTCCGAGCTAGCTAGCATGTCTATGATTCACTCAGTCATGTGACGGAACACCTGCGGCGTTCGGTGACCGTCCTCACGCGTACACTTAACATAATGATATATTTGCGTAAGAAGTTTCCTTGTTATTATTGTTTGAATGGTTGGTGACTTGTTTGAATGGCGTATGTGAGAAAACAATGTAACGTAAAGTAAAATAGAGATTTATTTGTTGGCACACATTTGCAAGCTCATTGATACCCATTAAGAAACTTCTCTAGTGAATCCCATGACTTGGATCTCTTCTAATCCTACTAATTTGGGTTGGGCGAAATGTATATTAGTGGGATCAACCCACAAATGACGGAGTTTATTGCAACTGCAGACCAATCGTGGAAATCCAAGTCAAGTCACTTGCAAATCTGTCCGATACCGGGAGATTTAAGATTTATCATTGACATTGATACCATTGAATGAGATTTGTCAATCCATCAACATTTAATATTGAGTGAGGTATACACCTCGGCAAACTTCTTGACCATCGACCTTAGATCAGAAAGCCTGCGCAGTAGCAATTTTACATACAAACGCGTCTACTGCGCAAGTTTATTTGTCTGTGTTTTCGCTCAAGAAGTTAGCCGCTATCTATATTATTATTATCAGATATTATTTCATAGTTTTAGGGCTTTGCAGTCCTAATGGAAATGTAGTCACTGCGACCTAGAAGATCTATTGTGGCTCGCCACCAAGTTAAAGTATCTCTTTTAGCCCGTAAGCTTCCAAGAAGTTCAAAACGTTTCTAGCTTTTAGTGATTGGATTTCCTCTGGCCGTTACCTATAACTCCAGATTATTTAATTTAAACATCTCTTTGAATTATTTAAAAACCATAAGCTGAACGACATTACAATCAGCAGCCTAATTCATTTGTTTCGTTATGGAAAACTCGCCACATTCTTCCATGCAGTAAAACACACGTGTTTCAATTCAACTTAACAATTAGTGGTAGTAAAAAATAAGGCCGAGATTCGATCGCAAGTATATGTCACTGACTTGCACTTGACCGTAATGAAGAAGTAGCGAAAGAAACTCTATTTGTAGGGTCTAAAGTGCTTCCTTCCTTACAGGCTATCAGATCTGGTATACGGTCCGCGCTTGCAGCCAGTGTGGCTCAACATCGCTACCGGAGACATCCGAGTGGCCAACAATGCAGCAGACAAGCTTCTAAACGATCTCTGCAACGTGCTGTCTGTGGGAGACACAAAGCATACCAACTTGTAAGTATCCTAGTACTAATTTTACAAATGCGAAAATGTGTCGTACTGTCTGTTATCTCTTCAAGCTTAAATCGAACTAATTTTGATGAAATTTGGTTATAGATAGTTTGAGTCCCGGTAAAGGAGTGTCCTTTGATAAAGTTGATGATACTTTTGATTCCAAAAGTCATCATTTACAGGGGTGAAAAGGAGGGGGAAGTTTGTATGGGAACCAATTTTTTCACCCAGACAAAATCACGGTCACCTCACTTGTTTATTATAAGTCCAATAATGTTTTTGAATGACTTTGAAAACACTTGAGGTTACCACACCGGTTTTTGTTCAAACCGACAATTCATATTCCTACTCTGCCGGTATATAATGACGAACATGACAAAAAAAGGATTTTCCAAAATTTCCAACACTCGCATGTATAAACCTTTTTGAAAAATAATATTTTGTGGTTTTTGATATTTGGAAATCATTTAACGAATCAAGGATATAGGAACAATTATGTTACATTATTATGTGACATTCGTTTTTGCTGCAAGTGAACTTAAATCAAGAGATGTTAGGTTGTTTTTAAACGTTCGAACTTAAGTCACCATAGTACTACCAAAAGACTAAAGCCTTTAAATAGAGATTTACAAATAGTACTGCCAATCTTTAATTTACAAAGCCCAACAACAACAAAAAAAGACAAATGTTTAAATTAGTGATAAGTCTAACAAAATCCTTCACGATTGATTTTTTTCATATACAACCATTAATATTTAATGAGTTTTTACTGTTTCTATGCTCATTAATATAGGCAAACTAGCAACATTTTTATATTGATTTTCCGACAGCTAAAACATTGATGTTTATCGACAGTGTATACTAAAAGAATTCGATCTTTATAACTTCAAAGAGTTTTAAAAATCTGTCAAAATACAAATTAGCATGACCCTCTTTCTGGCATAATCTGACCACATCCATACATACACATGCACAACTAACCTTCATGTATGAAAGTTATTTCGTATCGAGTCTCGGGAGACAGCATGACGTGCTCCATACCACGTAGCTCGTTTGAAATATTCTGGATGACGTAGGATCGAGGTATGATGAGCACGTGCATTGTTTGTGGTCAGTTATGAAAGTGAAACATATTTCCGCGCCAAAATACGCGTTAATGCCTCGATGTGGCGTGTTCGGTGGATAATTATAGACAGGTTAAGCGAGTTTATTGTTTTTCTTTAAATACGTATGAGGATATTTACCTACTCTAGACAGAATCTCAAAGGAAAGACTATAACGAATTCTGTCTTATTTTTGGGGTTGGGGTTTATTAACAGAATAATAGTTTAACATGCCTTGTTATTCATGGGAATGTTTCAAATATACTTTTTTTGGTCATCTATTTCCTTTCAGACTTTTGCTAAAGTTCCTTATTACTTTTAGATGCCACTGTCAAAATATTCTTGAATATGATAAAATAAAAAATTTCATCTGTAGTGTTATCGAAATGAGAGGAGAAAGATGGCAAAAAAATATATTTTTAAATAAAACAAGTTTCAACGTGTTAGATGCACTGATTTTATATATTTATTGTCGTTTAGCATCCTTTGCAGGAATCTGTCGCCGGAATAATGTTTTTTTTTTTTAATAAATAAAATCAGTGCATCTAACCCGTTAAAACTTGTTTTTATTTAATGAGTGATGTGCGTGAAAACCTAAGAAACAAATAAATATATTTTTGTTTAAAGGTATAAGTAAAACCTGTACTTCATATTTCTAAAAGTTTTATTCGATATAGAAGAAGTCGCGGATACTAGTTATCTTTTAACACCTTTCTCTTATCAAACATTGGAACAGCAAACAATTGTTTTAAAAGTGATCAGAAGGCTGTACTCGTGAGACGTATTTTTTTTAATTTAATTTAATTTTAATGTAAAAGTAGCAAGCATTACATTTAATTGATACCTTTGAGTGTACTTGTTATTTTGAAACTGAATGGTTTGCGAATTATTTGTAAGTATGTTATCATAGGTAAGGAATGATATTAATATATAACCGGTTTGAAACAACAAGGTTAGTTTAGCATGTCTTTGTAGTCGTGATTTTAGGAGAAAAGGTAACTGAATAGAATGCATTGCAACAACAACTTGTACTTCGGTAATTATTTGTAACTCTTAATCATATTACATAGATAATTAAAAAACATTTGTATAGTACCGGTTTGATACAACAAGGTCAAGTGGCTTAGCATCTTCGAAGTTGAATTTCATAGACATGATTCTAGGAAAAGGTCACTAAATAAATGCATTTCAACAATCGACTAACATCATCATCATCAGCCTATTAATGTCCCCACTGCTGGGGCACAGGCCTTCCCTATGGATGGAATAGGGAGATTGGTCCATGCCCCACCATGCGGGCCCAGTGCGGTATGGCGGGTGCTAACGACTGCAGATGCAGCCGGGGCCAACGGCTTAACTTGCCTTCCGAAGCACGGAGGAACTCGAGATAGAAAATTTTTGGTCACCCATCCAATGACTGACCATTGCGAAAGTTGCTTAACTTCAACGATCGCAGCCGATCGCGCTAATCACCAGCGCCATCGACTCGCATACTTATATTATGCTATAACAAAATTTACCAACATCTTTTCTTAACCCGTAGATAGTGATTCGAAAATTGACATTAGATAATAGTAACATCGTGTAAGGCTTGTGAGTTTGGTCTAAATGATGGGAATTATTTATATGAACTGTATGAGCGATTAGCTAAAACCAGAATAAGAAGTTATATTTATTTGTTACTGTCGATAAATTGTTTTTATCATTACGATTGTTATTGTGTATACATAAAAAATGTTATTGGTATAGAACATCACGTGCTAGCGCGATATCATTATTTACAGCTATTCTCATAGTCCTTCTAGCTATAATCGGCGTCTTTTTGAACTTTAAGTCGGAGGAGTAAAGCGTTGATTCCTCGTGTTTCCCAAACATTATATCGTATCTATTTGTGACGCGTTCTATGAGTTGTTAGATAACTGTCTCGAGTCATGTGATTTTAAAGGAAAGTCAGTTCACCAACACATATATAGTCGCTATGTCCATATTATTTATACTATGAATCTCCGTGCTGTTTACTTAATACCGTACTGTCAGGATGTTATATATGAGTTATGATGAATTATTTTTGGAATAATGTTTTTATTCACATTATCTATAACTTGCTGTGGCACGTTGCATACAGTTCTTGGTACATAAACATCGATAAGATATAGCCCCTGGTTTTTAATATCATTATGTTGATACATATCAATAAAAAGCTGGGCTTAACAACGAGCCGGTAAAATAAACTATTTTTTTTTGTCTTGAAATTAATTTAATAAATTAAAATTCATGGTTAGTTGATATTCAACTATTTGACATCTCGGTAATATGCGAACAAGAAATAAGTTTCATATGTTTTGTAGTATGGATTAAAATTCAGTGGGAACTAATATTTTTTATTTCACTGTCCTATCAGAAAACGCGATCCTTTAGTATGATTAAAAATATATTTTTTTTACAACACACACCAATTAGCCTAGCCCCAAAGTAAGCACTGTAAGGCTTGTGTTATGGGATGCTAGGGTTACGGATAGAATACATATACCGTACATAATATATAAGTATATTTATATAGAAATACATATTAAACATCCATGTCTGGAGTACAAATGCTCGTATTCATCACACAAACCTGCCCCCACCGGGATTCGAACCCGGGACCTCTCGAGTCTGCGACACCATGAAAACCGGCGTACAAACCACTCGGCCACGAAGGTCGTCATAACAATACAATATAACAATGATACTTTTAAAAAAACGGACTAACTATCATGCATAAAAATGTAATAAAATACAATAATGTAGAACCAGTATTTTACCAATATTAAGTACTTATGGATCTTTATAAATATAATATTTTTATAGCAGAGATCATGTCATTTGATTTCCTTTGACTTTCGTCTGATTTTTTATAAAGATCAATTTAAATGTTTATTCATCCTGTATTTTTTTATGCATTGTTTAAATAATCTAAATACTTTTTTTATTAATAGTTTTATTTATTAATAGTTTTATTTATTCGAATCCATTTTTTATGCTTAATTTAATGCCAAATAACAATCAGCAGTTAATAAATAACAATAAGTTCCGGGAATCTTCCCTTTAAATTGTATGTATTTTTTGATAAAAGAATGTCTGTTATCAATAAATCTTTTTCTAAGTATTAGTGTCAACATGCTGTCTTTGACTTGGCTCCTGTCCAAAACTCACTCGCGATTTACGACCTTGACAGTGAGGAAATGGAGATCTCACTATTCATCAAACCAGTAAGCACCAACTTCAGGGACTTTCGTATGCTGTGGTAACATTATGTCAAATATATGTCAAAGTTTTCAGGATGTGTGTCAGCTAATCGGCTTTGGATGTTTCAGCACCTGGATTTACTAGCTAGCAAAGCTTTTATTCCGGTAAATTTTTTTTTTTGGAATTATAAAGAAACACACTACGTCACATCGCTCTACGGGTAGATTTTATGGAAATTGTATCCACATTAAATGCAATTTTTTATAATTCCAAAAGTCGAAGACGAAGCCTCGGTCAGGTATATGGTCTATTAACATGGTACAGTTTGCAACATATGAGCGACCGGTACCGCTTGATTGCTAAATACGTATCATCTGAACAACTTCGTTCCGCCATAGGTCAATGTATTTTTAGACGCGACCCTGTACCACGGTATCTCCCATTCACGTCACGTTCACAGACATTATTTCCAGAACATGGGTTCTTGTCGCGCGATCTGTGTGTATGTTTACTGTTTACGTGTGGTTCACGTGATTTTTCTATATTTGAACAAGTTGACGTTTACAAATTGCTACTAGCCGTTGTGTAACGTTAACCGTAGGCGTAGCAAATGTGAATTGGATTTGTTATTTGAAAACGAGTTTTTTTGAACTGATCTTAATTGGCAGACATGTTTGTTGACTTGATGGATCCAATTAGGTGTTATTATTAATGAAGAGTGTCAGTATGCTTAAATACTAAGATGTAAATAGTGCAAGTACTTTAAGTCGACAATGACAACATATCAAGTTATCAAAAACTCTCTATTCATAACTTATTAAGATATTTTTGCCATTTTGCGGTAACTAGATGCGTAGCTGTCTACTTATTTTCGAACGAACGACGATTAAACTACTTATTTCCCTTTAAAATAAATACCAAAAACTTTATATTTTGCTTACTATTTATATTTTAATTAAACATAACAATGCTTACTTTTTAGGATTCTACCTAAATGGTGACAACGAAACCCTTTTAAGAATTAAAAATAGATAAAGGGTGTTTTTGCTTTGGTGTTAAAGCCAAGCTAAACCAAGTTATCGTTATATTTCAAATTTAAGATGATGCGGAACACCTTGTCGTGTGGGACTCGCACTTGACCGTTTTTTTGTTGTCGTTGATTTGTCTCGTGACTACGGAAACTGAAAATGTTCCAAAAGCAATTCAACATTGTTTCATTAGGTATAATAATAGAATTGAGCTGTTGCTTTTCGCATCATTTTATCACAAAGAAAATATTTTGTTAATAAAACAATCAGCTTACTCATAAATTCAACAAGAAAACTTTGATATTAAATGACAAACATCCTCAATGAATTTTTCATTTTGATGTTTAATGCTTATTCCGTTACTTATAAAAATATTGTACCTCTATTTTGACACCAACTGTTCGTAAATTAATCATGAAAACCTATTCACCGTCTATGTTTCACGATTAAAAGTTCGGGCAAAACATTTTTTTAGTTTAACCATAATATAATTTTGCTCAAGCAATACAATTTGAATTGTCATTTTGCTTGGTTACAGTTTCATCAGTACTCTGCTTACGCACATGCTCACGTACCATCTGGGATGGGTGTCCACTGTCAGCCCGTACGATTCCGTCGACCCTCAAAAGCGCACAGAACTTGCCGCAGAGACTCAAAGACCATATAACGCACTATGGGCCCAACTCTCCGATCTGTGTGGTTGCATCGGCTTCCCACCTCGTGCTGCAAAAACCATCATCAGTGGCAACACTAACGCGAATTTCATCAACAGGCTCCTCCTTGTACTAACCTACTTCGTGCGATGTGGTAACATCAAGAGAAGCGACTTCCAATACCAAGAATGCGACCTCACCAAAACCAGAGTAGTGAGTCTAAACTCCGAAGTCGACGCTATAAAAAGAATAGAAACAAACCCGAAGAAACTCGTCGAGTTTGCCTCCAAAGATGCACTGAAGTTGCACCCAGTTAATACTCAAATTAGTGATAGTAGTGTTAGTACTCTAGCGGCCAGTGAAGTCAGTATTAAGAGGTCGTCGACTCTCGCAAACCTCAGCCAACAGCTCTCTAATAGTTCGGAATTCACACCGAAAGAACCGGAATCGGAAGTAGAAACTAGTTCGAAATGTGAAAAGCCGATGACTAGCCAGCTGAAGAGGACTCCCACCGTTATGATGTCTTTGAAATCATCATCCGACTCTAGTCTTTATTCATCAGTGTCGGAGGAGTTCGAGTCAGAACAGAAAGTAGTGTTCGTTTTAGGTGATGATGAAAAGTTGGTGGGGTTAAAGAACAAATCTATCGATGGGAAAAGCGTCAAGAAATCCATCAAACAGCAAAGTGAGACGAAACACTCTCAGACTAAAGAAATATGTGCCAAAGATGATTGTGATCGCGAGAAGAGCTCCGAAAGCCCCTCCAAGTGTTGCGGGCAAACGCTTCAACATTCCAAACCTATAAAACATTCCGGTTTTAAGTTCGAATTCGATAAGTATCCTCAGATAGTCACTAATTATATGAAGAGCAAAAATTTAGAGATACTAGATAGGCATTACATCGGTAAACCGGGGAATTTAAAGTTGGGCAATTTCCAGTTTGACCCGACTATAGTGCCTCCAATACAGGAGGAGAAATGCGAGACTTGTTACAAATGCCAACTTATGGAGTCGATGCTGCAGACTCCTACTAACGCCTCTGAAATGGAATACATGAACGATATGCCGCCACGAGAGCCACAATATGCTAAAGAGACAATAGTTCAAAGTGTTGAGAGTAGCAGAGAGACGACGCCGAAAACGTTTGTGAGGAAGCGAAAGGAGAATACGTTCGTTGTGAATGTTAGAAGAGAGTTTGCGAATAATAACACACAACCAGAAGAGAAATGTGTTAGAGAGAGAGAGAAAGTGATGAGTGTGAAACAAGTGATTCAGATTCCCGCGCCGCAACTTGATCTTCAGCCAGAGTCGGAGAAAACCTCGTCGGGTTTCGACGCCTCATTGCTCGGTGGAATCACGGACCATTATGTACCTGATTTAATTTTACAAGGTAGCTATGATTTATTTAATATACTTTTCATCCCCTCTAGCTTCGCTTTGGTGTAGAATATAAACGTGTTTGTTCTCGAGAGTGTATTACATACATACAAATTACAAACCCTTCATGAAAATTTATCTAATTATTGATCAAGTTCGCAACAAAATCCATTGCGTGGCTTAGAAGTTTTATTACTGTTTAAATTAATAACTATACATTTTTTTTTCGAAAACACACATAACGCAGAGGATATTTAAAATTATAAATATAGTGTTTTCAAAATAATCATACCCGTTGCTTGTAGGTTTATAGTACATGGAAAACTAAGCGGCTGTAATAATGATGTGTGAGGCATTGTTCTACCATGTCCATAAACATATTTATAATTTTTACAGGAACAATATCCAAAACGAACGTATGGGAGTCAGAGCTCCGAAGAGATTTAGAGCTTACCTCGTATTTGAACAAAGCTCTGGATCCGCCTATACAAGCTGTCGCCATCGTCGGGGACACTAACAACTGGTAAGAGGATTACCTATAGCTACTCTAGTCTATAGTTTACCTAGAGAAGTTAACTAATCAATAGAGAGGTTGAATATAAGATACAAGTAATTTTCAGAATTGAAATTGATACATTTCGGTATGTGGGTAAGTATATCAATCAGTACAGTACCCTTAGCACGAACCAATATCGAATTAGATAAGAATAGTTTGCGAGTGCGAAATATCAATGTCAAATTCTGTATGGAATCTTGAACAACAGTGCAATAACTATTGTAACGAGAACTAAAAATCGGTACACATTTTGATCGAATTCAACTATTCGAATTAATGGTTCGTGCTAAGAGTACTGTAAAAGATAATCGACTTACCATGTAAACTTTCATTGTTTAGTTTACTAGCGTAAATTTGTATTTTAAGACAAAATTTAGCCTATTGGAAGGACATATAATTTAAGTCTTCTAAATATTCATGCCAAAAAATTTCAAAGTGGTTATCCGTGATAGACTAACATCACAGCAAGATCACTAACAGGGTACATATCAATATTTTTATGGACCTTTTTTCAAGGTTATATGGGTAACTTTTTTTTCTGCTATTAATTTATAGACCTTGCCAATGTCGGTTGCATACGAATTACTTATATTAAGTGCTTTTTAGTGGCACACTGACACGACGCACAGTACTATAATGCGATTCAACTATAGGACCGACTAGGCGCCATATTGTGACGTCATAGCTGTCAATTCAAATCAATTAGGTAGAGTGAGCAAAAAAAAATTTTTATTTAATAAAACTTATTTACTAAGATTAAGTGAGAAAACACATCATATTTTTTTAATAGTATTTATTTATTAAGCCTGTGTTAGAAATAACATTAATCAAAATCTAGCTCTTCAATTCCGCTCATCTCTGCATTACCGCCCGAGTAGTTATGAATAATCATGCACTATTATAATAATATAATATTATATTATATTATACGAACATACATCCTATATGTAAACGAAAGTTTTAATTCGAGTTTCTGAACGCAACTAAGTGACATTTGGTTGACGATTTAGGTTATCCACCATTCATAGCCAAAGCTCAATATTTTTTTTTTCATTTATTGAGCTTTGTTTTACTTTCATTGTTTGTTTACAATTGTTTGGTTTTTATTCTAGAATTAGCAAAATGCTAAAAAGGCTACCAAGATTTTCTTGCAAACCGTACTTTTCAAACGACATTTGACAGAAGGAGGTCATTGGCTTACCTATTCTTATTTGAATCGCACTATACTAAATCTATCCTAAGTGTGTGCACGTACTTATTCCGGTTTGGGACAAAGTTACCTTCTAGGATATATAATTAGTTATTGTTTTCTGTTGTTAATAGGGAAGTGAGAGTTTTAGGTCGAGAATCAGCAGGGGGAATGTCTTCCCTAGTAGGGGGGATGCTAGACGCGGTGCCTGCCATGAGGAGAGCTAAGGTGCCCGCTCATCAGGTAAATCTAATACTTTATTATATAGTCATTTTTAATATTCAAACTGCTCGATTTATAATCTAAGGAAAAAAAATCAAAACCATGGAAGGGAGAAAATTACCATGGGCGAAAAAACTACCTGAGTGGCAGAAAACTACCATAGTGGCAGAAATCTACCACAGTAGCAGAAAACTACCATAGTGGCAGAAAACTACCATATGTGTAGGGGAAATTAGGTAAAAAAGCAAAATCTCGCCAAGACCAAAATTTTCCGCCAAAATGGCGCATTAATACCCCAACCTAGCAATTCCGCCATGATGAAAAAAATCTTACACTATGTTTCGCCTATGCCAATATTCCACTCGCTCCAGCCATCAGACAGGATTCGAAATCTACTACTTAGTCTCATCTTAATTGTTAACATCGCCATTAATACCGCTGGGGCACAGGCTGGAATAGAGACTGGGCCAGGACAACAGACATAGACCGAAATAATTATCGCAATTGTATTACTGCGCTTGCCAAAAACTTCCTTTAACGCTATTATTTCATCGTGTCAGCGTTCTCGATACCGGAGTCAATTAAAATTCTTATAAAATGTCTAATTATAATACCCTTTTACACACAACTCGAGCCTAGTGCGTATTGGTGGGTAATAACGACTGCAGATGCAGCCGGGACCAATAGTTTAACGTACCTTCCGAAATACGAAGGAGCTTAAATTAATAAATTTTTGGTCACCCATTCTATGAATGGCCATTGCAAAATTTGCTTAACGGCCTGCGCTCCGTTAAGCGGGAGCATGGAGCGGACGTCCGCTACGCGTGCAGTTTTTGTGTCATTTCATAGAAGAGCACTGCGAGGGAGATACGCCTCACGCAGCGTTGCTCTATGAAGTAACTTGAAAGAAACACGCAGAACGGACGCCTGCTCTTTGTTCCCGCTTAACGCAGCGCAGACTCTAATTTCCACGATCTCACGACAGAATGAAAACTGCACATTAGATGCGTGTGTTTTTACGTGAGTCTCGGAAATCTATTTGTTTATTATACGCCAATGATCATAATATACATGAAGAACACTTTAACTAATCTAATCCAATTTTGTTTCCAGTGTTTATCTTACTTAGAGGGTAAGTTGCGGGAGTTCTGCGTTCTGTCGAAGACCTTAGCCGATATGTTGATGTCAACGGATTTCTGCGACATAGCCACTTTAACAAAATCTCTCAATATCGACGTAAATGACGTACCGCTTCTGCTAGCTATCGCTACTACTCATACTCCACAAGTAGCCACAAGATACGGCATCAGCTACAGATAGGCGATATCAAACCGTACGCTGCTGAAAATAAAGCACATTTTCCCATATAAGCTTAAAGGTGTCACTGCTAAATGTAATCATTGTTATCATATTTAAGTTCTATACAAATTGTGTATGCAAAGAGATGAGTAGAATTATTAGCTTGAATAAACAGAAAAACAACGTTATTGTAGTGGTCGTAAAGTACAAAGCAAAATATGATGTATGCTGTTTTGTACATAGTAAGAAGTATTCTTAAAGATTGTTATTTGTTGTACGAGAGATTTCTAAGTGGCATCTTTATTTACTGAAGAAAAAGATGTCACAGGTTGTTATTGTCGAAGTAGCGGTGAAAAAATTAACAATTTCAATTCAATAAAACACATTTAAATCATACGGCTCAAAAAATATCTAATAAAAAATAATGCAAAGCCGTACTTGAGGGATGCGAGCTAGGACCCTAATACAAAATGTAATACAACACTGCTCGAGTGATTTTTACAACAGACGTTCTCAGTTTTTTTGGATCTAGAAATTAAGTAATGGTGCAACCAATTACGACTTTAAATGTAGTATATGTTTTATCGTTAATAAAATAACAATAAAAAAAGAATTCGAAAATGTGCTAGTCCTTTGCTTCTAGTAAGCCGCTTCCGGCCTCCCCGCCTCACAGCCATAGAGGTATAAGAATAGAGTGGGGGAGACATAGACTCTACTACAAGTGGTGTCCCTTTAATAGAAGGAGAAAGAAGATGAGAGACCGCTAGCTTTCTCTCTTAACGCGCATGCGCATTGGCAACCGTAAGCATCTTACTACTTCGATGTGATGCTTGGACCAACTATTGGACAGACGACTGCGCATGCGTCACAAGAGAGAGAGAGATATCTAGCGGTCTCTCATCTTCTTTCTCTTTCTACTAGACGGACACTTTTAGAGCCGCCTTCCCCACTCTATTCTTAAACCTCTATGCTCACAGCACCGCGCTCCCAGACAGACTATTAGTCGACCCTATTGGTCGACGGCACCAGTTGATGTGCTTGTGATTAGCCTGTGACACATTTTGAAACGGTCATCGACGTCCTCGAAGGGAACAGGTAGTACTGCAAAATGAAAGTCAGAGGGTGCATAACTCGTGATCAAGGAACAAATTCGATGTAAATTTCTGTTATTCATTTGATAATTCTAAAATGGCTTATGATCATTTTTAAGCGAGCTCACAGAAGGAGCCTTTAAGCTTAAAGCTATGCTATTAATATTTTTGAATCACCTTTGTAATTGGATTAATTTGATATGATATAACTTGTATTAGAATTAATCAAAAAGTATTAAAATCACTTTAAATTTAGTATTATTTATATCAACAAAATTCGCCTGCAACTTTATTTTTCAATTAAATTGTTTGAAACAGTTGTTAAAAAATAAACAATTAATGAATAAATTCATATAGCAATTAATGAACAAATTCATATAGCTCAATAAGGCTCGCTCGTTCATATTTATTATAATATTATTTTAAAACACTGATATGTAACATCTATTGTTATTTGTAAACCACTTTTTTTCAATTAGCAAAATCAGTCGTAAATTTCAAAAATGGGCGATTTTATTGGTAAAACTATAAAATCGTATAATTGACCTGAAACCGTATGAATTTTTATATATTCTTTATTTTGCCTACAATAAAATTTTGTTTACACTGATATCCATACTTTAATTATATACACGCCTAGATACCGTGTTAAAACCACGGAAGTGCCCAAAAAAATATTTACTACATATGGTAGAAACGCTCGTCGCTACACGCACACACACACACACAAATTGATTGATTTCAAATAAAGCGTAAAATTTGCGTTTTATTTGCGTGCTTTATTTGGATTGCTCTATCTAGGCGTGTATATAATCATAGCCTCTAGAATTGTTCTAATTATTAGAAAGTGGTATATAATTAGTGTGGTCAATAGTGGGATTTAAATGTTATTATAAATAACTTTTGATGTAAAAGTTCTTTTAACAATTAAAACCTTAGTTTGTATCGTGATTTTGAAATCCGAAAACGGGTCTAATTTAGATGTCTATAGTAACTATAGGATACTCACATTGTGACTGAACTCTTTTTACTGTATGAGCTTATCAAAGCTTTAAGTCGTATGAAAAATAGCCCATTATGTTCGATGGTACGATCTGTTGATTAAACAGAGTAGATCCCTAAAGACAGAAGATAAGTTTATTGCCTACATAAAAAAACATTTTTTTAAAGATAAAAATGAAATATTCAATATTTCTCTACTGCAAATTTAGTTATTTAATATTACCTAAATCCTTTTTATTTATTCAGTACATAATAATTATGTCACAAGGTTAGCTTCTCTATCAGTACCCCAAGCACGAACAACTAGCGAGAATGTATTCGTATCGTTACGTCAAAGTTGCTATGGAAAAAGCTAGTTTATTCTAATGTCCGGTTGGGGTGCTTCTTCTTGACATTTGACGCGTATCTAGATCAAATTCAACTATTCTAATTCGACATTGGTTCGCGCTAAGGGTACAGATCTGTTTGAGACAACTTTTGTACAGTAATTTCTTTTAAAAATAATATATGAGAATATTATTAAATATTTCTTTAAAGAAAGTGCATCACATGCGAGCAAGACTTGGCGGTGAGGATCTGTGATTTAATTAATATCTTATTTATGCGTTAATATGGTTTTGATTGTGATAACTGCAAGTATTTAATATGTGATGTCGTTGTGTCCGCTGAGGCTTTGAAAAAGCTTCCACAATGTGATAGTATGTAGTTGCGAGATACACAACTGTTATTGGGTGTATTCTCAATACATACCAGTATACTGGCCAGTGCTAATGACGTCATGAATCGACGCTATACTGGTGAATTGTTCCCAAAATATAGTGGCCAGTGCACTGACGTCATAAATCGACGAAATATTAACAATAACACTGCGAATAAAGAAGATTTTTTATTCACCTCATCGATTAAAAGGAATTACTTTTGTTCAGATTGTTCTTTAAATTAAAAAAAGAAATAAAATTTGTGTGTTCTCACGCACGCTCGGTCATACGTCATATTCGTTTTCCCGGTAAAAATATGGTAGCATACCAGTACAATATGGCGTCGGATTCGTGACGACATTACCACTGGCCAGTATACCGATGTATGTTTCGGAATACACCCTTTGTGTATTTGTTATGTTTATAAATATTTTTATATATTATCATGTAAAATACATCCAAGGTGATTACTATAATATTTAACTTTACATAAAGGTACCTTGTCAGTCTATGCACAAAATATGTTAAATTGTATGTTAATGGTTTTCTCTTTGTAAGTTCATTGTAAAGTACCTAATATTTTTTTTTATACTTTATTAAAGTAATAAATTATTTTTTCATATTGATTCGGTAGTTTTGTTTTTTTATTTATGTTACTCTGTACTCTAAACAGTCCTTGAAATTACTTCCTTGTTTTTTTTTTTCATTTGATACATACTTTTTTTTCAGGCATTATTATGCCAGCATTAGTGTAGTTTACGCATAAAATATGCATAATACATGCACTGGGATTATTCATTTTGGAAAATATCAAGAGGTATCAGAGCCCAAAAAAATATACTTACAAGAAATAAGAATTATTAAATTCGTCATCTATATTAGCATTTGAAATAAAGATTGGAGCACTGCAAGATTACATACGACACACATATTTGAAAATTTCCAAGTTTCTATGGCCGTACCGCCACGGTAATATTATGTCGCGTCCTTGTTGCTTTATGCCTGTTGAGAGGCAAAACATAGACAGGTGCGGTCGCGGTCGCATTTCTCAGCAAATTATACAAAAAGTCTTTCCTTTTCCAGCGCCCTACGCTTTGACAATCAAATATTATAATGAAAAGCACAGTTTACACTTCAGGCCAGAAATAGAGACAACTTGAAAGATCCATGATTAACGTGTTTTTACGTGCATTTATGAAAAAGTGTTTTCCTAGTTTTTAAAAATATTAATTTATTTTATACTTTTTTTAACATTAATGCATTTATTTTAAGTAGTCGAATGAGCCCGCATCCTCCCCATCTCCGCCAGTGCGTCTGTATTGCATAGTGTTTTACCTGGTCAGCTTAGAACAATCTAGCTCTTCAATCTGGAGACCACTAAGTGATTTTACTCTACTTAGGGCCACATACGCCTGTCCAACGTCAAAAGTACGGGACCCTAAGTACACCACTGCGTGGTATACCGTACAGCCTTGCATCTTGTGCACGGTATATGCCCAACTTAAAATCACTGGGAGCATACGCCTTTCCACCGTACCGTAGCTATGCTTGACCGGGAATACGATGCCTATAGGCTGAATTAAGAGCTCACCGTTGTTTCCGAAATTAACTTTGATGGACGGTATGTCGGTTTCATACATTTGGTCGCATCTAAAGTGCGGCCAGACGATGTCCGAGATGAATCCGATGCTCCCAATCACTAGCCCCTTATCCACGTCTACATTGGATTGGATCGCAACATGATTTTAGCCCCTTGGAAAATTATGAATTTACTGTGGTAGTCCAACCGTTTTATTTTAGAATCGTGGCTTTACCAATCCATTACGTGGCCTTTCTCACAAGTGCAATGACGACTATGATAAAATATTCCACCATGGAATGCCAGTGCCTATCTTACAGCTTTATCATCAGACATTGAAACCTAATCGTGGTCTATGTTCATTACAAGACTTTTCTAAGAAATCCAAAAACAGCTATGAAACGATGTTCCATCATGAAGTTCCAGTTCATATAGTCCGGCTCCATCGTCAGATCAGTTCGGCAATACCATATTATTGTCATCAGAATTACATACAGCTGTCAATTTTCATTACACTACGATCCTTGAAAGATGGTTAAATTAGTTACCTTAGATTCCATTACATAGTTAGTTACATACAGGTCGACCTAATAAAAGCGTGTTAAAAAACGCATGAAGAGTTCCAGTACGCGAAAGAAAAAAATGATTTGT